TTCTAAAATTGTGATGATGAATTGACACTGTTGGAAATAGGATTTAACCAGAACGAGAAAGTTAAAAATGAAATAGTGAAGCAACTGAGGGCGGTAGTGCCGGCCTTAGGGGGCAGCAGTGCCGCCCTACCATGCTAATTCCAAATCCAGCACAGCTTCCTATGTCATCTTCAAAAAAAAAATTTGTTAAAACCTGCCTGTAGCCGTGTTTAACTCATTATCTTATACAGTTTCTTATCAAGTCTCATTTAATTGCATAGATGGACTGAGGAAAAAGAAAGATGTTGACAACTAAACAAAAGGTCAAGAGAGGCAGGGGACAGGCGAGCTATACTCCTAGAGACAGAAATCTTGATGAAGACCTTGCTGAAGAAGAAAACATTCAGAGGATGAGAAGAACCTTTCGGGTGTGGTCTGATTCTCCTCTACACATTTCAGAGTTTGATAGCAGCTACATGAGAGATAACACTGATAGGTTCGACCTCATTCCTCCCGAAAACAACGATGATCATAGGGTTGTTGATTATTCCATGAGTTGAAAGAAGACAGGTGAAGCTAGAGAGATTGATCCTTACTCCTCTAATAAATCAAATGGCGTTGATTATAGATTTTGGAATGCTTTTCAATCTGATTTTTATGCCACAACCATCCTATCCAAGTCAACAGGCAAGATTAGCAAGATGCAGTACATTGACTTTGGTGACTTGGAGAGCAGGGATGATCATTAATTTGCTACAACAATCAAGACCTGTGACCGCTTTGAGATGACAGATATTATGAGTTTCAGGTATGATTGGAACAGGGAGATTCTTGCCTAATTCCATGCTACTTACTATTGGAACAGGGAAGTGGATGAGCTTCATTGGATGACTGATGGGTGACATTATCGAATTGATTTTGTCACCTTCTGTCGTATTCTTGGTTTTGGACACATCCATAGGGGATATGAGAGGATACATAATGAGCATCGTCTTGAGCCAATGAAAGTAAGCTTCATGTGGGAGGATCAAAATCTTACAGTTCCTAATTGGTCAAGGACCAAGCTCAAGAGCTTCTATTACATCATGAACAATTTTTTTAGGATCACTCTCAACCCTAAAGACAATGCAATAGATTTGAATGGCTATATCACTAATGTGTTGTCTAGGTTTCCCACCAGTGAAAAGTTTAATGTTCCAAGATTCATTTGGATTGAGCTAGCATATGCCATGGATGATGGGAGGAGATCTTTGCCCTATGCTCCTTACCTTATGTTTATGATTGAGAGAGTGATTGGCATGTGGTTCCCTAAGGACTATGAGCACACTATTTACAAGATCAAAAAGACCCATGGTGGGTTAGGGGGACTTGGATCAGCTACTCAGCACACTGGTTCTAAGGACTTAGAGACAATAGGGCAGGAGGCTTTCACTCTTCTGGAGCTGAACATAGAGATATTCCTGAGCCGTCCAATGCTAGAGAACAAAAGAAGAAGTCTAAGTGGAGAAAGATGAGTGCATGGATGAAGGTTATCTTTACTCATTATGCATATGCTTCACAGACTGCTTATGAGGATAGAATGGAGAATAGGGAAGCTGTGAGGCATGCTAGGGAGATGGCAGGGCTGCCACCACTTCTACCAGTGCAGCCACCACCTTAGTTTCCTAATTTGCCTTGCCTTTCTTCCTCTAACGAAGAGCAGGATCAGCCACATGAGCATCATGATGGACAGCCAGATGATCAGCAGCATGGACACTCATATGAGTCATTCAGTCAGTACTACGGGTACCCACGGGGACAGTATTTTGAGGAGGCCCCAAGTCAGCAGGACCTTGGTGTAGAGATTCATCCTACAGAGGCCGATCCATAGGTTCAGGCAGCTTTATTTCGCACTTATTTCAAGAGACCGTGTCCTTCGATGGATCAGCCAGGGCCTTCTACATCAGCTGTGGCAGCACCTCCGCGATGTTCAGCACGCTTCACTTCACACACCCACGTCGCCGGACGTGCCCGCGTCGACTCCGACAGTGACGAGTGACTTCTCTTTTTGGTATTTGATGCCAAAGGGGAAGAAAATTAGAGGGGTCAACATATTTTCGACGCCTTGCTACTGCGCTTTATGTTCAGATCCGATGAGAGTAGTTGTTAGGTTGTGAGTTTGAGAGTCGCTCAAAACTCTATTTTATGATATTATGCTACTTTGTTACTTTATTTGTTTCAGATATGGACATGTATTCATGGTTACAGTTTTAGCTTGTCATATTCTGAGTTTAAATTGTTTTATATTCATATGATCTGTTGTAGGAATCTCAGTGCTACCTGACTTATATAGTCAGGACGGCAGTGCCGCCCTATGGGGTCGATAGTGCCACCCTGTGTTGTATCAGCCAGAATTTTGTGTGTTTGAATTGATATAACCTGTCATATACATCATGTTTATTCTTTTGACACTCTGTTCAGCACCCCACAGCAGGCATGGATGTAGGGGAATGTTCCCATCACACCTAAAATGTGAATCATAGCCTTTCATGCCAATTTGAGAATTCAAATATCTATTCACATATTTAGGGGGAGGCTCCTACACCCATAGTTCGAAAATCTCAGTTTAGATTTCATATCATCTGTAAGCTCTAAATTGGGTTATCATCAATTATCAAAAATGGGGAGATTATAAGTGCAATCAAGCTCTATTGTGGGTTTTGGCATTGATGACCACCAAATTAGAGGACTAATGAGATTTATCGAGATGACAAGCAGATAATCAAAGAATGAGGATGATGTACATGTTGTAGGTGTCCTAATTACAAATGGTGGCCAGACCTAACTCAAAGAAAGCTTAAATTCTTTTATGTTTTGAAATTGAGTTTAGGAAAAGTCATACTATTAAGAGGGATTTTAGGACAGTTGGTCAACTGTTGAACCAGATGCTCAAATTCATAGATCTACATCCTCTCACCTAGTCAAAACAGCTAGCCAAATTTTATATCATCTTACCTGTTTTTGCTAGGGCGGTAGTGCCGCCCTGTTAAGAGTGGTAGTGCCGCCCTTAACTGACCATTGGGCTCGGGGGTATTTATACCCTTCAGGCCCTAGACCACAATGATCATCTTCTCCACTGAGTCATTCTGCTCGAAACAAGACAGAATCAAAGCTCACCTCTCTCCTCCATTGTTGCTCCTCCATCCCTCAAGCTAATCCTTGATTCCAACCATCAAAACTTGAGAAAAAAGGTAACAAAACTCGATTGGAGAGAAAATCCACTGATTTCCAAAGTCTAAGAGCATCTGGTTCACGTTTGGCCGGTGGTTCTAGGGTTTGTTACTCTTGGAGCTTGCTCTTAGCCGGCTAGGCGTTGTCCTTGTGCTTGCCAACTTGTGTGGCAGCCTTGGGATGTTTGTAACCTCATTTAAAAGCTAAGAAATCATCTCTCACTTCAAGAGTTTACTCTATTGATTTGAGAACGATGGTAAGGAAAGCCTTGGTGGCAAGCTCAAGCCTTCTGTGGCTTCCTCAACAACATGGACTTAGGCAAATCTTAGTGGTGAGCTGAATCACGGGATAAATCTTGTGTCTCGCGTGCTTCATCTTACTATACTTGCTGTTTATCTTATTGCTAGCTGTTATTAGGGTTTAGTTGCTCGATTTACTGTTGTGTGAAGTTTCTGTGGTATCCAGTCTTTGAATTGGATCTTGGCTTTGTATTGCAGGATTCAGCATCTAGTGGGGTTAGGTTCATATCTGTTAAATCTCAGCTATGTTAGATTATTTTTCGTAGAGCGACAGTGCCGCCCTGTAAGGCCGGCAGTACCGTCCTCTGTTCTAACAGAGTTTTGAGTTGAATTTTTACAGGCCTATTCACCCCTCCTCTAGGCCTCCTTTATTTTCCTGTAGACCCTACAGCTCTCTTTGGGTGTTAGAGATCGTGTCTCCCGTGCTTTGAAACAGCCTGGGCCAACACACCGCCCACCTCGCCCCCGGTGCCAGGTTTCGTAAAAACTATAGCCGCTGGCCCCACCATGGACCGATGTCTGCGTGGACATGTTCGTTTCTCTTATAATCCATCGTTTTCAGCTTGTTTTTTCAGCCGGAACAGTGTTTTTCTCTCACAATAAATCAGCCGGAACAGTGTTTTGACTTGTTTTTTTCAGCGAAGCGAACGGGGCCCATGAGGCCATGACGCTAGGTCCTCCAGAGGGAAAGAGAAAAATGAGATGGGGGTGGTCATCGTCGCTGGGTAGTGGTTTTGTATCTCATTGGACCATATTTTACTATTTTTATTTGAGTAAGTTTTGTGTTCATTTTTCTTCCATTATAAATTATAATTTAGTTAAATTTTATCATATTTCAAATATCTCTATTTTATCATTTTTAAATAAATATTAAAATATATGAGTTTATATAGATACACCATCAAAACATATTCCATCAATAATTTAATAGACTAAATTGATAATATAGAAGTTGATGTATTTTCTCATAACATAGTTAAAATTACAAGAGTTTTGTTTAAGATAAAACTTAACAAAAAACAGTTTGTGATTAAAGGAGTATCGATCTTTGGTGGATTAATTTTTCATAAAATTGGACAGTTCGTATTTCTGCTAGATCTGCAATTTTCAGGTCAAAAATATAATGTTCCATATTTTTATGCAGAGGTATAAATTGTTCACGAAATTTATTACAGTTTTATTTCACCCGTTCTATCATGAATGGTGAGTTTAAACTGTTGCGTGTAAATCCATTTGTCAGAAAAGCGATAAAAAATTATAGTTTTGATAGTTAATTAACTTAGTATTAGAATTGAAATTAATAATCTCCGTGGGCGGCTACATCGGGACGAGCAAACGAGAATCATCATCGTACTCCAAAGTCCAAACCGAAGAGAACGCCTTCGCCATTGTTTTTGACCGTTTGTTCTTTGTTGGATCAACCAGAGAACTCTCCTCCCAAACCAAAATTGCCGCCTTCGCTTCGGAGTCCTTCCACGGCAGGGACCCGCCGGAGCACCACCGCCTCCGTCCATGTCCCTCAACCGCCTCAAGGAAACCCTCAACGCCTGCTCCTCTTCCTCCTCCCAACCACAGACCCAACCGCGCTCGCCGCCGCATCCCGCTCTCCTTCCGCGGAGACCCCCAAAGACGTCCCTTTCGCAGCAGCTCCTCCGCCTCGAGGCCGCCACCTCTTCATCCTCCTCCTTTTCCTCCAGGCCCATACAGCTCCCACCCGCCCCCAGGGCCCCGATCGAGAAGCCGCGGGAGGACGACGAACCGCCGTCGTCGGAGGATGAGGACGAGAGAAAAAGTCGCCCCATTATCCGCCGCTGCCTGCCTCCGCCACCAGCGGCCGCCCTCGAGTCCCTCGGGCCATACGAGCCACTTGTGCTCTCGCTGCCTGGAGAGCACCCTGTCGTCCAGGTACCGCACTGCGCCTGCGTCTCCTCGGTGGCAGTAGATTCGTTAGGGCTTGTCTCGCAAGAATGACTTGCGCACGAAGTAGTTGAGTTTCAGTATACTAGTACAAAAACGGATTTATGGTAACATAAGTTTGATCATTACAAAGTATTTATGAATACAAACCTGATATAACCACGTTTCTAGTGTAAACTTTTCATATGAATATTATGATTACACTAATTATTGGTCAAAGATGACAAAGTTTGAATTTTGAAATACATGCACTCCTTGTATTTGGGGATGGAGTGAGTAGTGATAAATCCGACTTCTTGTGAGAAGAGGGAGAGCGAGAAAACATTGCATAACCGTTTGCCATGGCATATCTTGCTGTTCTTGATGCGGTTTATCTCAGTTAAATAGAAATTGGTAAATGAATACGTTGCGATAGAGATAGTTCCAGGGAAATACAATACAAGAAGACAATAGTTGATGCCCTGTGGTTTATCTCAGTTAAATACAAGGAGACAGTAGTTGATTATGAGCCATTTGCATGCATTTTATATCATAACTCAACTTTTACACGTTCCATGGTTGATGGGACATGTATTATGTGGTTGATGGACTGCTTTTTTTCATCATTTGACCTTCAGGATTTATGTTGGACCAGATCTCGAGGTCTCTTTAACAATACTATTATTTACAACGAAGCTGAACTTAATTAATTCTCTGTAGTGAAGGGGCTGACAACTTGTTTTTTCTGGGAAAATAGTTGCCCCTTATTTATTTATATGGTTCTGCTGTGTTGCTATTGTTTCTTTCATGGACTCATTTATTCTACTTTCTCTTTAAGGCTGAGATATTGTTTTTGCTGATAAGTTTTTTCCTAGCTTCAAGAAGCATCGTAAATAATTGCATGATCCATTTCTTTGGACTACACCAAAACCACTAAAAAATTTACTCATGGGCAAAACTCAGACATGGCCAAGGTTTTGGCAAAACAAGGGTGTTCAATAGTGCTCAACCAAAAGTATCAGCTACAAGCATGAAAAGTAAATGTGATTTGCACATGTGCACACCATGCTTTTATAGCATAGAGCTATGTTCTTACATGATTATTGTTTGCAAAACATTATACTTGATTTTGTTTCTTCATTTTCTGTGAATGGTTTTACATCTTTGTCCACTGTGGGATTGTTTTATGTTCAAATTTAACACCCCCCAAAAAAATTCCATCCTGTATTATTTGTAATCATCACACAGAAATGCATTTTTGCTTGTGTCTCTGCCCAAGCCCCTGATCGTTATAATTATTCATCAGTTTAATTTCTGTACTTTTTTTTATCTGGTTGTAGGTGCCCCCATCAATAAATTGTAGGCTACTTGCGCATCAGAGGGACGGTGTGAGATTCTTGTACAATTTGTATAGAAATAATCATGGCGGTATTCTTGGAGATGACATGTGAGGCTTCAAAATTGCAGATGATCATTTTCTTTAAGGAGATCGATGATCCTCATTTCGTTCTTGAAATAACCTTGAATATCAATCAAGAGTCTTCTTTTAGATAAGCGCTCATTCAATCATATTAAATGTTGGTGGGGATCCAAATTATTTTAGCAAAGCAATTAGTTTTCTCAATGTAGTTTGTTGTTGCTGGTGCATAATACTAAGTAAGTAAGCTCGGCTTATTAAAGGTTAGCATATGCATATATGTACACTGTTGATATAGTGACAATTAACTCATTCCTATACGTAGAAGTTACTGGGCTCTTTGAATCTTACTGCACTTCCTGTTCACCTTTTAACATGATTTCTCTTGTGATTTAGGGGTTTGGGAAAGACCATTCAAACTATTGCTTTTTTGTCTTCTGTTATTGGAAAAGGCAATGGCCATGAGCAATCAACAAACAAAGGAAAGAAAACTGGCCCTGTACTCATCCTCTGCCCTACTTCGGTGATTCGGAACTGGCAAAATGAATTTTCTGAGTGGGCAGAATTCTCTGTTGCTGTCTATCATGGTCCAAATCGTGATTTGGTTCTTGGAAAAATTGAAACTCAAGGACTGGAGGTACTCATTACCAGTTTTGATACTTTCAGAATTCATGACAAGATTTTATGTGGTGTCTCGTGGGAACTTGTGGTTGTTGATGAGGCACATCGTCTCAAGAATGAAAAATCCAAGTTATATACAGCATGCTTGGGGATAACAACTCAAAAGCGGTTTGGTCTCACGGGGACCATAATGCAGAATAAGATCATGGAATTATTTAATCTATTTGACTGGGTCGTGCCTGGCTGCTTAGGGGATCGAGAACACTTTCGAGCCTATTATGATGAGCCTCTAAAACAGGGTCAGAGGCTAAGTGCTCCTGAGAGATTTGTTCGAGTTGCTGATGCGCGCAAGAAGCACCTTGTTTCCGTTCTTAGGAAATTCTTATTGAGAAGGACAAAAGAGGAGACAATTGGACATCTTATGCTTGGGAAGGAGGATAATATTGTTTTCTGCAAAATGAGTGATGTTCAAAAACGTGTTTATAGAAGAATGCTGCAACAACCTGATATACAGATCCTTATTAATAGGGATGTACCCTGTAGCTGTGGAAGTCCTTTACCTCAGGTTGAATGTTGCAAGAGAACTGAACCAGATGGTGTTATATGGTCTTATCTTCACAGAGACAACCCTGATGAAGGCTGTTCTATATGCCCCTTCTGTCTTGTTCTTCCTTGCCTCGTCAAGCTTCAGCAGGTTTTTCCTATCCTATGTTATTTGGAATGACAGCAGCAGCAACAAGCCAACAACAAAAAGCTGTTCATTATTTTGGACATTTTTTTTTGAAAAATCTGATATCTCTTCCTTTATTGTAGATTAGCAACCATCTGGAGCTGATAAAACCTAGTCCAAAGGATGAGCCTGAAAAGCAGAAGAAAGATGCTGAACTTGCAGCTGCTGTCTTCGGTGCAGATATTGACTTAGTTGGTGGTACCGCTAAAAGTGAAAACTTCATGGGTCTCAGTGATGCTGAACATTGTGGAAAGATGCGAGCACTAGAAAGGCTTTTGTCACTGTGGACTCAGCAGGGTGACAAGATTCTTCTTTTCAGTTATTCTGTCAGGTTGTTCATTTATGCACTAACATTTAGCTCATAAGCTGGCAAGGTTATATTGTTATGGTGGGCCAGGTGTACCAGCGCCGGAAGCGCAGCCGTGGCTGAGCAGCGGCAACAGCTCGCGTGCGGCGCGCGGCCTCTGCATGGTGACCGCGTCCAGAGCGGGCGCCATTCCTAGAGTCTAGGATCCCAGATTGAGTTCAGTTAGTCGATTTGAAGTTTGTTAGTCATTTTGGTGAGTTTGTTAGGATGTGGCTATAAAGCCTAAACACTTGGTTAATGATAAGTTTGGCTGGAGATTGATTAATCTCTCCCGCTCCCTTCTCGTGTTCGTGCGCTCTCGCTCTCTGTTCGATGCCGACTGCCAGGACGGCGTCGCAGCCTCGCCGCCGCCGTGAGATCAAACCACGTCCTCCCACAACCCACAATTACTTCCTCAGAAGTAGTAGTAGCCATCATAACATATATTGCCATGAACTTTAATCCCATCAGTTCCAATTTATATCGATGTTTAGTCCCACTGTTTTACCAATTGCTCTAGTTATTACTTTCATGCCACAATTTAATGTTGTTTATTTCTCAAATTAGGACTGAAAAGACAGATTGCTAACTATTCTAGTACATGGGTCATGTTCTATCATTCCATAAATACATCTCTGTTTGACTTTTTTACTAGGAAACATATTTCAGAAGATCTTTTAGGTTTCAGCCACACTTGACCATAAAATGGTAGAATACACAAAATATATCTGTCCACTGCTGTAAGTGGGTTTTCCATTCTTTTGATTATTATCGATTTTGTAATGGAAAAATTGTTACTTCATATTCCTTAGTAGGCATGCTTTCGTTAGAGCACAAAATCTTATTTATTTAGGTTTTATATCTATGCCAAAAACTGTCTCAATTAGAGTTGTGGTTTAGATTTATATGTCTGACAGTGATTTTAGGGTGTGATTGGATGTAAAACTTTCTAACTTGTGACCCCCATAATATATGTTACCTAACTAAGTAGATATTTAGAAAGTTAGTTTTGGTCAAAATATGAGTTGCCCAAATGAATGGTGAAAATTAATTGTAAATAGTATTGTTGCTATTATCTTCTAAATACACGCACTTTAGATATGCTACTTGTTCTTACGTGCAGAAGAGGAAGAGAGAGAGAGAAGGGGGAGGAGGGGGGGTGAAGGAGACTTTCCTACTTGTAGCATCACTGCATTTGGTTTCCTTGATGATTTCATTTATTTCTATTTACATACAGGATGCTTGACATACTAGAGAAGTTTCTCATAAGGAAGGGTTATTGCTTTTCACGCTTTGATGGAACGACTCCCATGAATGCACGCCAATCACTAGTGGATGAGTTCAACAGAAGCCCTAGCAAACAGGTGAATTTTGGCAGATGTGGATTTTTTGTACTTCTACCTAACAAAATTTTGAAGGCCATAGTTGATTTAAGTGGTTAAATTCTTTTATGCAGGTTTTCCTTATATCTACTCGGGCAGGTAATTTAGGTGTAAATCTTGTTAGTGCTAACCGTGTGGTGATATTTGATCCAAGTTGGAACCCTGCCCAAGACTTGCAAGCACAAGACAGATCATTTCGGTATGGACAGAGACGGCATGTCACAGTATTTCGCTTACTTGGTGCTGGTTCACTTGAAGAGCTCATTTATTCTCGACAGATATATAAACAGCAGCTTTCCAACATTGCAGTCTCTGGAAAAATAGAGAGACGTTACTTTGAAGGCGTGCAGGTATTCTCTTAGCCATAGAAGTATCTTGATAAGATTGAATGGAGGACATAAATTGCTTTCCACGAGGCATTTGTATTGGTACAATTTGAGCTGGCTTGGAACAAAAGATGTTCGAGGATGGGGTTTATTTACTCAATATTCTTGGATAGGCGTAGTCAAGAATTAGAATTTTTGTCCATTCTATGTGGCACGTAGTTTGACAGCTACACCAAAAAGGATCACAATATGTTCCTTTTGTGTTCTGCTACGACCGTGTTTGCCCAAGTTAACTACTCCATTTGGTTCAGTTCCATAAACATTTTCTCTGCTTTCCAAACAAAGGTCTAACTGTGTAAGAGATATGTGTTTCTTTCATTTTCTTCTTATCTTCAGAGATGTGTTAGGATTGAGACATTTGATAAGGACTTCATACATTCAGAAATGTTTCAAATTTACTGTCTTCTGACTGTTATACACCTGCTTTTTGGGTCCAAGACCCAATCAGGATGTTAAGTGTTTGGGAATTCATACATTGATGCAAAATACCTGGGTGTATTGTTACAAGGAAGTGACATTGTGTAATCCACAGAATAACATTATGCATAATTGTTGTTAGATGGCATTTGAGAAAAAACAAACATGTCACCACCCAACGATCTTCCTATGCATTTTTTTAACACATCAGCATATGTTAGTTTGAGAATTTCAGTTTGGGCTATTTTAGCTGTTGAAGGTGTGACAGACTAGGTGCAATCACGACTGCACAATAGTTTAATTCAGATTGGCCTTTTGGTAGTTTTAAGTTTACAGCTTACTGACTAGATACCTGGTATCCGTTTTGGGTATCAAATTTGGATAATTCTGATTTTTTTTTTAAATTTATAATTCTGATTTAGGATGACAAGAAATTTCAAGGTGAGCTCTTTGGGATCTGCAATCTTTTCCGTGACTTGTCCGATAAGCTTTTTACTAGTGAGATTATTGAGATGCATGGAGAACATGGCAAGAGTAGTGCAACAGAAGCAACAGGGATAAGAGAAATAGTTGATACTGATTTATTTGGTTCACAAGAGAATAGGAAGTCTTCCACAGCAACAACAGATACGGATAATCAGAAATTGGTTGATTTTGGTATGCTCTTTCTCTGAAAATTTACTTTATGTTTACCATAAATATACTCATAAAAGGTTCATGGACCAAATGGCGAAGGTTTAGTCATTACTGTGGCTGTTAGCTTCAAAGGCTGATACAGAAAACTAGTTATTCATTTTAGATGCAATCTAGACCTTCGGAGATACTTGCTCAAAAGATTTTGAAATACTGCACCATTCTGTTCTTTTATGGTGTTTATCTGTAGCTAGTATTCAAGGCCTGCTGTTCAATCTATCGTTTCCTAGTCTTGGTATATTTTGAGCTTATTCAGTCAGTCCTTCATAAATTCACAGTAGCTTGCTTTTTCGCGAACGCGCCTTAGCATGTCTTCATTCAGATTCAGGTAGCTTGCATTTTCTACACTAAAATATAGACTGCTTAAAAGTTGAATTATTATGTTATTTTACACTGTTTTGGAATATCAAGCTATTCTTCTGTAGCTTGAAGCTGAACAGCTGTTTATGGATCCAGCTATAAATATACAGTGATTCTCTTTGCTGAGAAGTGAAAAACCTGGCATAAAATATTTTCACCCTTTGTCTCCCGGGTGTATTGTCTAGTAAGCTATGTCTATCATGCTCGTGATTTTGAGAATAATTATGTTTCTGTGTAATTGTAGAAGTTCATATGAGATTACTAATTGAAAGTAGCCTGGTAGGCTGACTTCTGTAACCTCTCATCCCTCTCACTGATCCATTTTATATTGAAGTAATAAATTTGGTCTGTTTAACAGGGATAGTTTATGCCCACCGCAATGAGGATGTTGTGAACTCTCGAACAAACGAAAGAGAGAAGGGTGGAACAGACGAGACTGTTCAGAGCTCCTTAGAGGAGCTGCACAGTAAGAATGAAACAAAGCATACTGTCATGGAAAAATCTTATTCATTGGAGGAGAAAAGAAAAGTGGCAAGATCTTATTCACTGGAGCAGAAAAGGAAAGAGTTTAGCTGTATCGCATCCTTCATGGGTATGGATGACCTTGAATTTAGTAAGTGGCTGCTATCAGCCTCACCGCTCCAGCGGTCCGAAGTGCTGCAGAACTACAAGAGGAAAAAGAAGAGGAAGTGTGAGAAAAAACAGAAATGATGATGCGGGCCCTCGGAGCTACCGCAGAGCTTTGACATTAGCTTGTGTAGCTAATTGTGGTAGTTATGACAAGGAATGGTAGTCAAATTGACCCATGGCACCGATCAGTAGATATGTCTGCAGCCCCGCTTGATTTTGACCCTTTATGAGTGCAAACTGAGCTCAGAAAAGCCTTGGTCACTTTCAACTGGCTGTTTTCCGGTCAGGTGAAATCTAATCTGTATTGTGGCTGTTAGTTCCTGCTCAAGCTGTCTGAGCCTTCGTGTAGCGAATCTTATCATGCAGGTGGCTTGCAATGTCACCGTGATCTGTACTAATCATTTGGATACCGTAGTCTTTTATATATGAAGTTTTTTCTTCTAAACATACTTAGGCATACGGCGATGGACGTATATCTGCTGCTTGTAAGGTGTGAAGAGGGTGTTTTCGTTGTGTTCTTTTCCCCCATCAATGTGCTGAGAACAAAGAGGGGGAGGAGACATGCGCGTTGCTAGCTGGAGACGCTTCTTCAATCAGCCCTGCCTGCGTAGTAGGAGGACAGGTCCCAAGAGCAGATGGCACTCACCGTCGAGGCGTCGACTAGATGCGGCTAGCAGCACGGCAGGCAGACGCCCTGACCCTCATGAAGTAATTTCATCCACCCACTCATCACTTGCTAGAGGCACATTCCAAAACTGCAATCAACCGCGCTGTAGGTCTATAAACACGAGCTACAGGCGTAGTTAGTACAACATTACGAGCAATAGACGTATTCTTTACAAATGATAACTGTCGTCATTACAGAGTCAACCGCAACTTGACATCATATTCATATCACATATAGCTACATTATGACTTAAAATCCACAACCTACACTCGGCCGAAATATATTCTCTACAAGGCCACACAAACAGGTACTAACCACTACCACCAGTCCACCACATTAGGCATGCCAGATAGCATACAGATAATACCAGATCCCTACCAATTCCCAACTTCTGCTTATTCATATTCACAATCGCAACTAACAGCACTAAACAACTCGTAGGCTATGGGTGCGGGGGTGCCTAGGAGAAATCACGGTCTGGGAAGAGCAGTGGGGCGATGAGGGTCCAGATGTACAACGCGGCGGTGACCCACTCTGTGCAGATGCGCACCCAGACGGTGGTCCATCCAACATCCATCAGCTCTGACCTCTCTGATGCAGCGCTCGTCCAGCCAGTCAAGAGCATGGCTGAATACATGCTTGCAAGGGCGAAGATGAGGTGGAAGAAGGTGTAGGAATAGCTCACGGGGCGTGGTTCACTTTCTTTGCCATCCTCCTCGTCACCGAGTAGTGGGTTTTTGGCTCCTGCATGCATTTTTCATCACCCATGACAGTCGACCAAGCATCCGGCTGTGTGGGGGGTTGTAATTGGAGTGTTCTTACCAGATCTAGGAGATGATGGCGGCGAAAGGAATGTAGTTGAAGATCCAGCGCGAACTGCGGAGTACACAACAGAGAGCACCGTAGTGAGCATCCCGAGTATAAGAGCACCCATTGAAACTTGCTTAGAATGCCTGTGAAGCCCATTGCACTCGTAGTCATCCGGTTCACTGGAGAGACTAGTGTAGCACAGGTATGTACAGTAAACAGAAATGACAGAAGCAGGCATAACACTTCCATTGACCTGGAAAGGAAACAATATTCCATTACGCATAAACAGCAACATGTATCAGGCACCAGCAGAAAACTGTATGAACCATTGCATTAGAAATTTGGATCATTAAGACAATCAAATGATTCAGATTTCTTTGTGCTTACCAATAGTTATTTCAAAACTGCACATAAATACTTATTCTTGTTATAGCTTGACGAGATTTGGAGTTTGAAGAGGTATATTACCTGGGGATGCAAAGCAACTATTGCAAATGCAAAAGCAAGGATGAGTGTCATGACAATAAAGAACACATTGAGACCACAGTCATGACCGGAGGGATTAAACCACATGAAGAGCACACCAGAGAAGGCGAATGTAGAAAGATAGCAAACCACAGTCACTACCAGCCACCATGGTGCCATGCATCTCGCCGGTCATTCTGGTCTTTCACACCAATCATCATGAGAGCCAATATTGCAAAAAACAAGAAGTTCCCCAGGCTTACACGAAGAACAGCATTCATTTGAAACCATTCTTCTGGTGGTGTTTGATCAAATGCATTTATCCCTACAATGCAATACATTACAGACTTACTAGGCCACTTACATGATCATTAAATTAAGGCTTGAAAAGTCCATCTGATTTATCATAAGCTCAATGGTTTGATGGATCAAAATTTCAAAACAAAGAAAAACACTTTCTGAAATAACAACTCTCCAAAAGTTGACAGTTTTACAAATCAAACATTCTCTGCATCAGTATACCAGCATGCATTTATGGTAAATAGGCAAAGTTGTTCCCAGTGATGACAACAAGACCACACAAATGCTCAACCATGCATGTGCATAAAAACCACACAAAAGGCCCCCTTTGGAATACGGACGGGATTTTTTTTCTTGTTTCCTCCGTTTTCCTTGCAACATTTCTATACGATTCCTGTGAAATTCCAGAGTCCCAAAGGGGCACTAATCCATGCTCAAGATTCTCAACCTGTGCAAGACTTATGACTTATGAACTTGCACTCTGTCAAGGGCGTCGGGCCCTAGGGTAGCAGGACCTCGGCTACGGAGTTCGTAGCCGTCGGCCGTCTTCTCCGGCGAGGGTGAATCCCCTGCCGCAGGCTTGAGAGAATTTCAGGAGAGAGATGTATTTGGGAAATATGATATATTGCTTGCCTTTCTAGAATTCACGTACATGCATAAATAGCCTTGGAGGCTAACCGACTAGAAGCTAAACTCTCTAACCAACTTGGACTCTTTCTATCTTTATCCAAAACCGACTCCATCTACGTACGCGTGCTTAGCCAGAGGCCGCAGCCTGGGCACCCGCGTCGCCCGGCCGGACTCCAGCTACAGCAAAACCTGCCATGTGACGGATGTCGCGGAGCCCTATGGCGCCTCACGTCTTCGGTGCCCGTGACATGACATCTCTCCCCCTCGAGAGCCGGCTCGTCCTCGAGCTGGAATGTCGGAAACTTGGTGAGGAACGATAAACATCTTCCCATGTCGCGGGAGGCAGCCGTCCTCGCCTTTCCACTGGATCAAGACTTGGCGTACACCACGGGCCAAGCGGGTCCGGACAGCCGCTGAGCTCTGTAGTCACGGCACCATGGTGGAGGGCTGGTAGCGGAGGAGGCACCGTGGTGAGCCCGTGAAACTTTGAGGACCCCAACATGGAACACATCGTGAATGCGAGCTCCCGCGGGCAAGTCGAGGCGGCTGTTGATGATCTCGGTGATGCAATGTCGGCCCCGTAGTATCTCGGGCTTCAGCTTGCCGTGCAAGCTAGGCGCGCGCGAGGAGGCGACCGGCAAAGGCGAAGAAGGACCCAATCACCCACCGCGTGGAGAGACGTCGCGGTGTGTCCGGCCGTAGTGGTGCTTCGGACTGCTGCGCTGTTCGAGGCGATGACGCACATCCGCCAAGAACTCGTCACGGTCGGTGATGGTGCGCGGCCCACGGCCGCCACCACGGTGTCCCCTACTCATAAGACCGGATCGACGGAGGGTCACGCCCATATACAACCCGGACGGGTGTCCCGAGAGAGCTTTGGTAGGCGGTGTTGAAAACGCATACTCATACGGAAGCCATTGAAGCCATTAGGCGCGGCGGCCGCCGAGGCAGGCGTAGCAGTACATGGTGATGACGCGTTGGGTTGGCGCCTCGGATTGCCGTCGGTTGTGGGTGGAACGCCGATGACATGTGCGCTTGGTGCCCATCAACCGCATCACTCACGCCGAACTTGGAAGTGAAGATCCGTCGCGGTCGACATCATGGACCGAGGCACCCCATGGAGACGTCACGATGTCGATGAAGAAGGCTCGTGCCACGCACTCACCGAGTAGTAGGGTGGACAAAGCGATGAAGTGGCCATATTTGTCAGCGATCCACCACGGTCGGGATGACCGACTTGCCGCGAACGCGAGGAAGTGCTTCAATGAAATCAAGCGCTACATCCGTCCGCACCCCGCGCAGAGCAGGAGGAAGCGGCGGCCCGCAAAGGTGCAAATGTTCGGACTTATAGCACCGAGTAAGTGACGCATCCCCGACAAAATCCTGCACAACTTGTTTCATATTAGGAAAATGGAAGTCCCGCGTAGTCGATGCGCGTCTTCTGTACATTCCTCATGGCCCTCGGCATGGACGGCCTCCAAGATCTCATGTAGCAACGGAGAGGCCGGCGGAATGTAAAGCGGCCCGCGTCTTCGCAAAGATGCCGTCGATGATGGCCCAAGGTGTCGGCGTCGCCCGTTATCACGTCATCCCGGATGGCGGCGATGGCCGGTTCCACGAAATAAGGCGTGGCGAAGACGGTCGACGAAGTCGAACCGGGCGCCGAAAAACCGAAATGGCGCCTCCTCCGGAGTGTCGCGGCGGAGAGAGCGTCCGCCACCACGTTCGTCGCCCCGGGCTTATATTCGACGGTAAAGTCGAAGCCAAGAGCTTGCCCACCCAATGGTGCTGCGGAATCGCCGCCAACCGCCGATCAGCGAATACTTAAAGGTCAGTAGTGGTCCGTCTTGACGAGGAAGGAGCGCCCACGTAATGGCGCCGATCTTAATGGACAAAACGATGAGCTCACGCCGTGGCGCGCCAAAGGTACTGCGATGGCGGGAGCGGCGGCCCGGTTGAAGAACGCGATTGGGTGGCGGCTGGACCAGCACCGCCCCAAAGCCATGGGGCGAGGCGTCGCGCTCTCGACGACGAACAACTTGGAGAAGTCCGGCATGGCGAGGGACGGGGCCGAGGTGATCGCGGCCTTGAGAGCTTCGAATGCATTGCTGCGCCAGCCTCGGTCCAGCGAAACCGTCCTTTTGAGGAGGGCGGTGAGCGGGCGGCCACCGTCTTGCAGTGGTTGTGGGACGAACTTGCGGTAATAGCCCGCCAAGCCGAGGAACCCACGCACCGCACGCACCGAGCGGAGGGGCGATCGCGGATGGCTTCGCACCTTGGCCGGATCCATGGCGACGCCGTCCTTGGAGATGGTGTGGCGAGGTAGGAGACCGACGATGCGCCAACGCACACTTTGCGCGGTTGAGGAAGAGCCGTGGTGGCGACGGGCTCGAGAGAGAACGGCGCGGAGGTGCCAAGGTGGTGGTCCCCCGCATCAGAGATCAAAATATCGTCAAAAACACAAGGACGAAACGGCGAAGAAAGCGGCCGCAGGGCGTCATTCATTAATGCTCGAAAGCGTCCGCAAGCGTTACAAAGCCCAAATGGCATCACCAGAACTCATACAGTCCCTCATGGGTGCGGGCACGCCGTCATGTGTGCACGTCTTGAGGCGCATTCGCTTTTGATGGTACCCGACCGCAAGTCGAGCTTGGAGAAGAAGCTGGGCGCCGTGTAGCTTGTCGAGGAGCTCGTCGACGACGGGGATCGGAAATGCGTCCTTGATGGTGAGCGCGTTCAAGGCACGGTAGTCGACGCAGAAGCGCCACGATCCATTCGGCTTCTTGACGAGGAGGACTGGTGAGGAAAACGCCGAATCGCCTGCGACGGACGATGCCTCGCTCAAGATCGGCGCACATTGACGCTCAACTTCGTCTTTGTGCGCCGCAGATACCGACACGGCGGACCGCCACCGGTGTCGCGCCCGGCTTGAGGGTGATCGCGGTGGTCGGGCGCGCCGCGGTGGAGAGGCCACGGGCTTTCGCGAAGACGACCCCAAAAGCCCCGTGAGCGGCGGCCAAGGCGTGGGCGTCATTGGGGATCGTGGGACTTCCGTCGTGGCGCTTAAGAACGGAGGCGCGGCGCCGGCCGGACGCCGAATCAACAAACGGAACGCCTCGGTGTCTGAATTGCAGGTGCGTGCGCGGCGTCCCAAACGATGGGGCCCAAGGTGGCAAGCCATCGTGTCCCGAGGACGGGTCGGCTTCGCCAACGGCATAACGTAAAGGTCGACGTGGAGCGCCATGCCGTCGATGGTGATGGAGCGTCGCGGATGACCTCTGGCAAAGCGATCCGCTTCGCCGTTAGCCACCCGAGCCGTGAGCCGGGTCGGGACCAAACGGACAGCCGGGAGCGGACGTCTTCGCATCTTCGCCGATGAAGTTGTGGGTTGATCTGTGTCGAGCGGTAGCGGCGAGTAGTAAGCGCCCACCGCGGCATGGACTTGCATCGTGTCACAATGCGTAAGCTCGCTACCGCATGCGAGGAGAAAACCGGGCTCCTCGGTCGCCGGCTCGGCGTCCTCCTTGTCGGCGTCGAGAGCTCGACTCCCGATGAAGAAGATGCGCCGGCAGACGCGGTTGTGACCCCGAAATACTTCTCGTCGCAGCTTGAAACACGGCCCAAGCGGCGGCGTTCATCCTGTTCATACCCGTGAGGCGCTTCATCGGGCCCTTCTCAAGCGGCGGTGGTTGCGCAGTCTTATCGTCGGAGGCGCGGCGTGGTGGCGGCGTGTGGTCAGGCTCGCAACAACGAACCCTCGCGGCAAAGACGGGGCAGGGCTTGCTGTCGCTGTCGAGCTCCATCACTCCACTTGGCGTGCGAGCTCATGGCGGCCGACGCATGCGCGGTTATGAGTGAATTCGCACCGCGTGGCTCAGCGGTAGAGTCCTCCAAAGAAGAGAGTCAGACACGCCGGCCTTCATCTAGTGGACCGCGTGGAAGGAGGGCTCGAAGCGATTCTGGTACTCGTCAACGGAACCCGTCGCGCCGCACTCGAGAGCTTCGAGCAATGGCCGAAGCGCAGGGCGGCCCAAAGCGCAGTGGAGGAGGTCCTTGAAGCGGCTCCACCGGGAGTGCCCTCGTCACTTTGGACTTGGATGTACCATAATTGGGCGACTTCCTCCAGATTATACTGAAGCCATCCGGACTTTCTCCTCCTCCATGATGCGTTGTTGATGGAAGTATTCGCATCGATTGATGAAGATCGTGGATCGATCTTGCCATCGTGGCGGGAAAATCCATCTTTTGAAATCGCGGCGTCGATCGTTGTGGTGCCGTCCATCACCGCCGGCCCCGAACCGACGACGAGGAGTACCTCCTTGTCCCTTCTTCGTCATGCGACGTCACTGCAGGAGGTGATCGTCTTTGGAGAGGCTGCGATCGACTTAGCGAGGTCGGCGTTGGATGGTTCCGCCATGAGGGATGGCGCGCGTCGTGGTGGAGATGAGGTTGGCGCGGCGATCGTGGTGGTGTAGCGGTGCAGATGGCGCAGCGCAGCTGGCTAGGGCTGGTGGATCAATGGAGCGGGAAGAGGAGGATCGTGACCGTGATACCCGGGTTGTCAAGGGCGTCGGGCCCTAGGGTAGCGGACCCTCGGCACTAGTTCGTGGCCGTCGGCCGCCTTCTCCCATGAGGGTGAATCCCCTGCAGAGCTTGAGAGAATTTCAGGAGAGAGATGTATTTGGGAAATATGATATATTGCTTGCCTTTCTAGAATTCACGTACATGCATAAATAGCCTTGGAGGCTAACCGACTAGAAGCTAAACTCTCTAACCAACTTGGACTCTTTCTATCTTTATCCAAAACCGACTCCATCTACGTACGCGTGCTCAGCCAGAGGCCGCAGCCTGGGCACCTGCGTCGCCCGGCCGGACTCCCGCGCGCGCAGCGCGCTCTGCCGCGCGACGGATGTCGCGGGCCCTATGGCGCCTCACGTACTGGTGCCCGTACATGACACACTCAAACAAAAATCACAGTTCTAGATATTTACAGCACAAAAGTGGAATAACGCTCGGTGGCTGTGCCTGTGCCTAAGGAAAAAAAAAACATCTGGTAAATGTCAATGTACAGCTCGGGGGCTGTACAGAAAAGACATCTGATAAATGTAAACCAAAAGGATGCTCTATAGAACTTTCCACAGCAACTATTATGAACCTCTGTCGTCTGCTAGTACCTTACGGGAATGACAAAATAGTAAAATATTCTACTGTAGAAATCCATTTCATCTTGTGCAGCAAAAGGACGCTCTACATTACTTTTGTGCATCTTGAGCCTTGAGTTTGAGGGATGTGGAGAAATTTAGTGAATTCTACGCATTCAAGACAGCAAATGTTTACACGTAAAGCTCATGAAATTATCTGACTTCCCTGAGAACTCCATGTCAAGCGTGCCTTCGATTTATCATCTAGATCAAGCTAAAAACTGAAATCGTGCATGTGGAGGAACATAAAAATGGTTAAATGGATGAGCCACGACAGTGAGTGACTATATAGTAGGCATCCGGTTGCGAATTCCCCCAAGTCAGTTCACAACCACACAAAGGGTAAGGTCGACCTAGCACGCTACAAATTAACAAAATTAACTAGAACTGCCACAAAAATTGAAGATAGGAACTCCACGCAGGTCTATCGATTTTTAGCAATTGGAGGGAGAAAACAGCAAGAACATTCAAAGGAAGAGGAATTAGGGCCATAGGATGGGTTGGGGTTGCTGGAGAGTGAGTAGCAATCGTGGGACACATACATGGGATATGCTTGAGGAGCGGCGCGGCGAACTGGCGGAGCAAGAAGGAGAGGATAAGGGAGGCGGCGAAGAGGCCGCAGTAGGCGAGGCGCGCGGAGCGGCGGGACACGGCCGATGCCGCCGACGCGCAGAGGTTGCAGGTGCAGCCCGCGCAGGCGGACGCCAGGCACGATGCGCACCACATCCTGCGCCGGCGATCCTCTCGCTCCCGCGTGCGGAGCCGGGTTCCCCCTGTTCCTCGTCGGCTTTGGACCCCGCTGAGCCTTCGAGACTAGAGAGTTGAGTTCTCCGGTCCTCCTCCCTCCCAGTCCCAGCTCTGTGCGACAGTGCCTCTGTCTCGTGGACCGTTTATTCCACCAACCCGCTGCTGGCCTGCAGCAGCACCGGCTGCTCATTCCTCCATCTTTAAAAATGTTTATTACGTTGGTTTAATTGTCTTCTCTTCAGTCTTACTTCCTCAAAAAAAAAAAATGCTGTTCAAACCTTTTTAAATTTAACTAGAAGCACGTTTGATGATCTAGGCTAGTTATTAATTGGGCTAAAATTATCTCAAATTAACAAGTTGAAGGTTTGGCTACAAAATTAGTGCACCAATTAGTCCTCCTGTTTAGTAGGGCTGAATATAGCTAATTTTTAGCTATATAGAAACTAGCTCTCGCATCCAAACAAGCATAGGTTTGTAGAAAAAATTAGCAACATTTGTATTCCAGATAAATTTATTATAATCAGTGATTTATCTAATAATACTAATTACACACCATAATATTAATATATTCTTATATATATTTGGTTAAAGTTAAAAATGTTTGGTTTCTCAAAAAGTGAGAGTAACTCAAAATCTTCTATACATAAGAGCATGTTTGGTAGAGCTCCATCTGATTATGGAAACTGATTCTCTGAGAGAAATGATTCTGCGACTGAAAGTGATTCTCTTTGATTATTTAGCATCAACTCTCAAAATAATGATGGAGAATCACTTAACAGAATTAGAAGAGCTACTTTTCAACCTCTAGTTTATTCCAGAGAATCACTTCATGGAATCAGCAGATAATCACTTTTCTCTGAAAAAACTGTTTGGCAGAGCTCCCATTGGATCCAACAGAGGAAACAGGGCCTAAATTGGGCTTTTATGGACCTTTTGCGTAATATAAACATATTGCTTAGCCGGAATCACTCATACGCCCAAGGTTGACAACAAAAAAGTTATGCGACCTAAATTTAAATCCTACTCTAACATAATAATTCTTAGAAATCATCACCAAAATAATAATAACAATTATTAGAAAGTAAATTGCGGAGGCAAAGTAAGGCTTAGGTAGACTCAATCTTTTCATGATATATCCAAGTGTAGGTTATCTTCATTTGTCCCCTTTGGAGCACCTAGAACATATTTCAATAAGCTCATATATATTTTTTTATTAAGTAACAATGCTTCTAGTTTAGTGGAACAACTGTTTATGTTTATTAGAACAAAAATATTCTAGATTTAGTCGAAAATTGGCCCCGTTCGCGTGCCCTTAAACCTGGCTTGATCCGCTTTTTTTTCATCTGGAACAATATTTTTCTCTCACAAATTCCTTCAGAATTCCTCCAAACCATCCAAATTCCTCCATAACCATGCCAGCCGAACACCCCCATTGTCACACGTTGAAGAGAAAATTGTTTATAGTTTAGAAGGAAAACATGATAGCTTTACACAAGAAAAACATCCTAAGTTCGTGAATTGTTTTACATTCAAGTAAAAAGGGTTTCTAGTTTCAATTGAAAAAGGATGTTCAACCTTAATAAAATATAAAAATGTTCCATTTACTTATTTGTGATATACTAATAAAACATTATTTTTTCACTTAATTGAAATCAATGTTCCTCTAGCCATTGATAGTGTCCTGTATAAATAAAGAAATAAAAATATGAAATAAGAATAATAATAAAAAATAAAAACAGTGAAAGAAAAAATAAATTGCAAAAAAAATACTCTACGCGAAAAACAACGGCCCAGAAAAGGCCCGTGCGGGTGCGCTCCCGGGCCGAACAACCTCGGACCGGGCTACCGCCGTACGCCGCATCTGTTCACCTTCACCCCGTGTGCTCTCTCTTCCCCCTCTCTCTGTGCGACGGCTGGGTGGGCTACCGCCGCCGCCGCCGCCCTACGCCAGGTGCCGAGGCCTTAGCCGGTCTCTTTGTCGGCGACGAGAACCCACCAGGTATTCCCACCCCTTCTCATCCCTTCCTGCTATGCGAAACCGAGCACCCAAACCCTAAATTAGCTATGTGGCTATTTTGATTGATGCCTACTAACTTCCCTGCGCAGGCGAGCTAACGGCAACACCGAGTCAGGCCGTCCGGGCTTAACAGTTCGCGGCGATGGGCCGCCCGGAGCCTGTCGTGCTGTTCGCTCAGACGATCCTCCACTCCCAGCTGGACGAGTACGTCGACGAGGTGCGGTTCCCAATCCCGTTTCTTCTCCCCTTTATATTATTGTTAATGCGCTCTGGAATATCCGACCAAGCTAGTGCTGGGTGAATAAAATGCTCTAATAGTTTGGTAGGCAAGGTTGAGAACAAGAGGTAATTGGAGTGATTTGATCTTAATGCACTAATTATGTAGATGAAGCGGTACAGTGAGGAAAATATTGTACCTAATCATGGTAACTAGGTTTAGGTCTCACAGAGACAGAACACAGCTAACTGTTATTTATTGCGGAAAACCTAAGAACTATTTCATTTTAGAAGTTCATGACATAGGATCTGTACTACCATGGCTCTGCATTTGCCTGTGCAGTACAGTGAAATTGCTGGTGTCACCTAATTGAAACATAGTTGAACATACTGTATCATACATGGATGGATTAAATGCTAATGAGACCCTTAACGCTGGACCAACTATTTATTGTCCCTGTTCGATACGATCGTCTGTATCGTAGAACCTATCCTTAATATATTTTCCACTAACCTATGAATGTAATGTTGGGATATGAATGAGTAGAAATCTGCACAGCTGGTACTCAACCTTGGGACGTTTTCCTCTAAGCCAAGAATCTAATTTTTAGCTGTCAATGATTGCAACTAACAAATGTCGAGATAAACAGAGTGGCATTCTCTTAAGTCTTAACTTCATATATGTTTCTTATCCTTAAGTGCACCTTACATCATGCAGGTGCTATTTTCTGAACCAGTTGTGATAACTGCTTGTGAGTTTCTTGAGCAGAATGCATCTCCTTCTATGCCAAACATTTCCCTTGTTGGGTAAGAAGCATTTCTTTTGAATCTTGTTTTTTGTGCTTACGACACTCTTGTATTTACGATATTTTTCTAATCAGCAAAAAGATGATCCTGATGTAAAGGTTACTTGTGACAGAATGTGTCCTGCAGAAGAGTGCCCTGTTGAACTTATTTGTCTATTGCAGTTTATCGAAAACAGGGATAACTTTTTGTTGTGAAGTATTAGTGGATTGCCCACCTCTTCCCAATCGCTTAAGCTTTTGGGTCCATCTGGTTGGTGCATGAAACCTAACACTTTTATAACGTCTGATGATCTTGATGTTTGACCGTTTTGATATATTGGTGATAGGATTTGCTTATGTGACTCTGCATACAGTAAATATGTTAATTACCTTCATTTGTCCCTTTTGACCCTTGAAGGTTTAATGCCATGCCTTGGCAACTATTTAGGTGTTCGATGAGAGTGTTCCTTTTGCTTTTGTACTGTAGAACAACAGCTAAATCAGATTATCAAGTGCTTATATTTCTATGAGTAAAAGTTGAAAAAGATCCAAATGTTTGGAATGATTTTATTTGGTTAGAACATGTCTTAAGGATTTTTTTTTTTTTTTTTTTTTTAGTTCTGAAGCATGCTGAAAACAACAATGGTTGCATCAAACTTGGATTGCATACAAGTTTGCTTATGCCATGTAACCTAACTACAATCATAATAACAATGGTAGATAGTAAAAATATTTCAAAACATGGAAGGATCAAACAAACACTCTCAGTTTTATCTTTTTTTTTTTTTAAAATCTTGCAAATGCGATTACACATATGAATTTTCCATGTATATGGGCCATGCGTTACAGCTGACAATTTTCAAGAACCTTTGTAAACTATATAAGGCATGCCATTTTTGAAGAGTTTGCAAAGTTTCCAGTTTTTCCCCACAGGGAACGACCTATGGACTATGGTAATACGTGTATCGACAATAATCCTTGGTAGTAGTCATGTTGGTGGCAATACTTTATATGCAGGTGCCAATGATTTGTGACTTCTTGTTTTGTTGTTTCTTGTGGTAGTAATGTTAAATTATAGTACCCATTCAGTTCATTAAGCCTGAGACAATCTTCTTAAAACACTTTTTTTTCCTTTTAAGATTTGATACAACTTGCTGGTAATGATTGATGCTTTTGTTTCTTTAGAGTAAGATTCCAGTTCCTTCAGTTTGGATTTCCTAATATAGTTGTACTAATTGTTGACCTGTGCAAGGAGCAAGTGCAATTTTTTTTATTAACAACACTGCTTTTGTTTATGTTGATTGATGAGCCATGTTCCCTGATTACTACTGTTGTTGTTATATCCAGTGCTACATCGCCACCTTCATTTGCTTTGGAAGTGTTTGTTCACTGTGATGGGGAGTCTCGATTTAGGCGTCTTTGCCATCCTTTCTTATATTCACATTCTTCATCCAATGTGCTAGAAGTTGAGGTATGAATACATTCATAGTTTCTAGTTTGTCTTGTTTTCTTAACTGGCACTTCTTATTTTGTTGCTATTGTTATCCATATCTTGCTGAGGTAAGGATTGTCATAGTCCAGGTTGGGTAAGGATCCCAATGTGTGAGGGTAGGACGCCTGTCCTTGGTTGACTGGTCAGGAGCTCTTCTCCTATGCAGCTTGCCAAGAATCTGGCCGGTTGAAGAAAGAAGCTGACCCAAAAGAACATTTTGTATATTTCCTTATGAATTTCAAGGTTATTTAGATGATTGATAGAGAGCCTCTGAAAATGTGTTGTCTAATCTTTTCAAATTTCAACTCATCGAGATAATGTTCTGGCCAGCTAAAATATCATGTAACTGATCTTATCATAAGAAGCTAATTTATCACTTATAGAGAAACAAGAATTCTTGTTTAAGATATGATTTAGTTCTAATTTTGGCTGCAGCCATCGCAACACTACTTCAGGTTTTGTTCATACCACACTCTGGGCCTAAAAGCCATAACAACATTTCATCTTTCATGTTAAGTTAGTGAGATTTTTCATATTGGAAGTCCTAAACCCTGTGGACTGTCCTATCTGTCGTACACAAAAAAAAAATCTTTAAATCTAGAAATTGCAGTTAAAACTTGTGATCATTAAACTGCAAAGATTCACATTATCCAGAGTGAGCAGATAATCCCATCCTCACTTGAGGATGCTATGTGGTGCATGCGCAAATCAATCCACAGATATTCATTTAAGGTGAATATGGTAGAACCCATTAGAACCACCTAATTTCTCTTTAAGCAGTATCGATATGATAGACTTTCTCTTCAGCTATGGTAAACTATTGGCTGAACAGGATTAGGAACCATTGATCTGAAATGTGAAAAAATCTCACTAACTTAACATATAACATTGTTATGGCTTTTAGTCCCAGAGTGTGGTATGAACAAAACCTGCAGAACACCCTCAACTGAGGATGGGATTATCTGCTCACCCTTTTATCCATCTGGAAAATGTGAATCTTTGCAGTTTAATGATCAGTAGTAAGTTTCAACTGCAATTTCTAGATCTAAAGATATTTTATGTGTGTATGACAGATAGGACAGTGGATAGGGTTTAGGACTTCAAATAGTTGTTTATTTCAGATCTATAAATTGCAATAAGTGATTGTAAGACCCTGAACTTTCCAGAGTCTGACATTGAGTCCTTGAACTCAGAGCTGCAAAATTATTTAAAGATTCTTTGGGAACTGTTTAATGAGTGTTTATAAAATGGTTTTAAGTTGTTAGTTAAGGTCCTATTTAATAGTACAATCCTTGTTTAGTTCTGCCTCCAATAAACCATATTAGGATTTGAAAAAATCTTTCGAAGTATACTTTGACTATAGTACTTTGTCTTACAATATATTACCAATTACTACATACCAATCTCTATCTCTATCTATATATCCTATAATCCTAAACCCTACTAGAATTCTATCTCGACATGCAAACCATCCACATCAGCAGCCCACTAGCACATGCAACTGTGGCACCTATCTATTCATGCAAGCTATCCACCTCAACAAGCCACATCATCCACTAACATGCATTTATTTGTCCACGTCAGCATACCACACCGTCCACTAAAATTCATTCACATTCCCCGCAGCAATCTGCGGGGTATGCTTCTAGTGTCTTACTGAAATACATGTGAAATACAAATCAATTGATGCATCTTTTGTGCACTAAATAATAAATATACATATATTTTGACTAATGATGTGAAAGTTTGACTTTTTTGAATTCTCATACTACACCCTATATATTTTGAAATGAGGGAGTAATAGTATCAACTACTTTGTTCTTTGTTTTTTTGTTTAATTTTCTTTTGTGAAAAAGATATGATGAAGCTCATCATTTTGTGTTCGAAAAACAGATTTTCAGTATCCTTATTTTATCCCAACAAACAAAATGTGGCCCTTATTAAAAAACAATTAAAATGTGGTATTTAAACTCTATTTGACGAACCGTGACTAGGGGCTCATGTTGGGTTTCAACTCTAGCCTACCCCAACTTGCTTGGGCCTAAAAGGCTTTGTTGTTGTTGTATTTAAACTCTATTTGACAAATGACATTTTTTGTAAAGTTGAATATCCAAGCAACCATAAGTCAGCAGCAGTTCTATGCTTTCTAATTGGTAGTCATGGATAATATTACACCTTGACTCGAACTAATTTACAGGTCACTGGTGTCAGATGTCATGCTTATTGAGCCCTCTAGTAACAAATTTTCTTACTGGGCACTGCAATTTACAAGTTAATAGACATTGGAAATACAGCCAAACATGTTTGAGGACTTCTGTTGCTCTTTACTTAGTGTAAACTGCCTTGTTCTAGATTTTCTGCTTGTTATCTAAATCATGTGGCAGTCATTGACTTGGTAGTATTTGTCACATGTGCTTGTCTGATATTGTGGGGCATGATTCTTCTTTCGCTTCACACGAATTTCATTGTTTTTCTTAATTTGCAGGCTATTGTGACAAACCATTTAGTTCTGCGTGGAACTTATCGCAGCCTAACCCTTGTAATATATGGCAATACCGCCGAAGACCTTGGTCAATTCAACATAGAACTAGGTCTGGACCATTCTCTTGCGAATGTTGTTAGCTCTCCATCAGAGGGAAAGCTTGAAGACCTCCCACCAGCGCTACATTCATCCAAATTGTCATTTGAAGAATCATTATCATCATTGAAACCGTTGAGTTTTCATGCCACTGATGTTGACTTATCAATTGAAGCGAAGAAAGTCTTACATTTGGCTCTGAAAATGTACCAAATGTCTGATGTGGAAAATCTTATTCCTAACCTAAGAAGCGCAGTTCTCTCAGCTATTTCTAAATACGTGACTGCTAGTACAAACCATATTCTACATACTTCGAGTCAAGACTCAGCAAATGCGTTCACCAAGAGTGATTTTGATTCTCAGGAAATTAACAAAATTCTTGCTGAAGCTGGTAATGAGCTCTCTGAAATTTGGAAAAATGTCCATGCTGTTACTGACAGTAATCTTTTCAATGATAATGGTTTTACCATTGGAGTAGATGAAGACTTGCCCACGACCAAGATTCTAATTGAGTTGTTTAACCAATGTTTCCCATATTACAAGAATTTTTCTTTACTTGATCTACAATGTCCTTCTCAGGTATATTATGTGATGTTATTTGATTGGCTACACATCTATTTAATGTTCAACATTTTTTTTATCTCACGCCAATTCGATTTCAGAACAAATGGTTGGTCCTGTCTTTGAGTTTGGTTCTCCTGCTATGCTCCTCAAAGGAGAGTTGCTTTTATTTTGTTGATACTGGTGGGATGGAGCAAATCATTAATCTGCTTTGCTGGAAGACACCAAAATCTGCAGCTACCACATTGCTTCTCCTAGGTATTGTGGACCATGCTACTCGGAATGGTTTTGGATGTGAAGCTTTCCTGGGATGGTGGCTGCAAACTGAGCACAGCAGTATACCTGTTGGCAGCAGTGATGGCTATTGCTCTTTGCTGAAGCTTCTACTGGAAAAGGAAAGGCATGATATTGCCTCTCTAGCTACATATGTTCTACAACGCTTGCGTTTTTATGAGATACTATCTAAATACGAGGTTCGAAGTACCCCCCTCTTAACCCCCTACCGACTGATCTTTGTATTCAATCTTAATGCATTGTTTTGTAGTTTTATATATGTAACGTTGATGATGCGAAGCTCTTGGTTGTTTTGCAGTCTGCGTTAGTCAAAGTGATTTCCAATCTTCAGGATGATAAACTTTCTACTGATGGAGTTCCATTTCTTATTTCTGCTAGTGTTGAACTTGCTGAAATGCTGGTAAGACTATCACTTTGTCCTTTTACAGGCAAACATTCTTTACATCTGTGTGTACAGTGTCATCCTCAAAAGTGATGGGCTACATTGTGACTTTATGTTGACAAATGCTGATACAGAAATTGATTATTTGCTGTGGCCCTATTGAAGATCCATCACCAGTGGCTACTGCTAGAAGAATATTTAAGTCTGAACATTTAGAAGGCTTGCTTTCGTACAAAGCAACAATTGATCTTATAACTTCGTCTAAATACAGTTTTTTGCAGTATGATACTGATCCATACTTATTGTCTCTTATCCAGGTAATACTGTTAATTTGCATTGCTGTTTCTACACATATTTTGTACCTATGTGGTCTGAGCTTGATCATAGTTAGGTTAATACTCGTGTGTCAATTTGCATTATCTTCTCTGTTTTTATGTTATTATTTTATATAACTTCATTGTCCTATATTACACAGTTGCACATATTCTGTACCTATGTGCTCTGACTGCTGTTTTGACAGGCTATGAATGCTTTGTGCTCTCAACATTTCATGTCTGTTTCTAGGAATTAGGGTCCAAACCTTACTAGCTCTTTGATCTTATAAGTGTAACATCTCTATTATGGTGCTGTCAGCCAAGGTCTGACACAGCTTGCATTGGGTTGGGTTGAGTTGAGTCCTGGTAGTAGTCCTTGTTTCTCTTTTCTGTTTGTTGCAGACTTTCTACTTCTTTGATTGGGTGGTATAACTGGATCTTTATTCTTAATGCAACGATACACAGTTCTCTCATGTACTTGAGAAAATTTTGTGATGCTATTCTATTCCGCTGTTACAATTCCACTGAGGCTGAACTTTATACTGCTGTAACCATTGTATCTCATTTGTTCTTTTCCTGTTAGCCTGTATTATTGGCCTTTCTAGGATTCCACAATTTCCAATCAGAACGGGTTTGACCCATCCCTTGCATTCTGATATGAAAAAATATGATGAGCTGATGGTCATACCATTCTTTATCTTGAAAATAGTAACTTTTGCTAGCTATCCAGGCAACAGTCCCAACCATAGGAGCAAGCATATCTGTTCTTTTGATTCTGATGCCAAATTGAAGCTAAGATAGTACCACCCTCTGTCCCAAATTATAGGCCGTTTTGGAGTTTGTAGGTACATAAATTTTGTTATGCACCTAGATATACAATATATCTAGATACATAATAAAAGTTTTGTATCTAGAAAAGTCAAAATGACCTATAAATTTGAACGGAGGGAGTAAATGAGTTTGGCAACTAGAAAATGATTTGGAGAATATGTGATCTGTGGCGTTGCCTAACTGGGCAACTGGATAAAGCAAATTGATCAACTGCAAAATCGCACAAGATGAAAAGTATTTTATTGGCCATCTGTTGATTATCAATTTTAACTACTTAAAAGCACAAGATGAGAAATATTTTAACTTAGCTTCATAAACGAAATGATTTATGGGAATGCATTCTACAATCTGTTGATTATCAGTATTCATAGACGTCATAAATGCACTTGTTTTATAAGCTTACAGCTAAATTCGTTACTTGAGATACAATTTCTTTACTTCTGTGTTCTTTATATGCAGGAAAGAAGTTTTTTTCCTCTGTCAGCAGCCTTATTGTCATCACCTATATTGCATTTAGCCAGTGGCCCTGCTGCCGAAATTTTGATGGGGATAGCATCATCAATTGAATCTATTATCCTCTCCCTCCTCTTTTGTCGTTCAGGTTTTGATCAGCATTTTACCTTTCTTAAACTGGAAACATCTTAATATCCATTTTCCTGAAATTCTTACTGAACTTATTCTTTTATATTCCCAGGGTTATCATTCTTGCTCAGTCAACCTGAAGCAACTGAGCTTATAGTTCTTTCTCTTCAAGATGCAGAAAATATGAATAAAGCAGAATGCATAACTCTTCGGCAGGCTTTTGTTCTTTTATCAAAAGGGTTCTTCTGCCGCCCAAAAGAAGTTGGAATGATCACAGAATTACATCTTAAAGTGGTTTGTGCAGGCCTCATTGCATCACACCTATTCAATTTCTATTGTTTTATAAGAGCTTTTTCATATACACATATTCAACACTCTGAAGAGGTCGATGAAAGAAAGGGTGTCATGTGGGGCATGCCCTACTGGCCTACTGTTGGTCAAGGGCTGGCAACTTGGCTTTATGCTGCCATGAAACTAAAATACATAAGATTATACAATTCAATTTTAAGAATGTGGACTCTTTCTAAAGAGGATGCCATTATGGAATAAAGGATATCATGAAAGAAAGGATAAAAAAGAAATTATCTCTAGTATTCCCCTTCTCCACATCTCCATCTCCTGTCCTGGGCTAGACAACCAGTGTTCTGTGTGTGTTTTCACATGTTTTTGTGAAATCATTCAGTTCATACTATGTATCATTTTGTCCACGCTATGAATGCAGTTACATATACAGATATACTACTCCCTCCGTTCCAAATTATAAGACGTTTTGGCTTTTTTAGATTCATAGCTTTAGCTACGCACCTATACATAATTGTGTATCTAGAAATGCCAAAATGTTATGATTTGGAACGGAGGGAGTATTAGTTATATTATATCACTTGTAGGAACATAATTTACACGCAAATAATTTATCGGATCTGAACTGTATATAGTCTCTCTTTTCTAATGATAATAATATTCTTCTCTATAGGCAAGTGCTGCCAATAGGATACCCTCAGTTCCTCCAAATTCTGACGAACTTTTGTGGGTTCTTTGGGAACTTTGTGCCATTTCAAGGTCAGTATTGAAGATAGCGTTACATTTACTTGTGCATATGAACAGTTGTGTAAAAGAATAACGAGAGGCTGCAAATAAAGATTATCATCCAATTTTGTGTCCAGTACCCAGTTCAGATTTTTTTTTCTGACAAAATTATCTTTTCCACAATAATCAATAATAGAACATCACACCAATATTTTCTGGATGTCCAGTAATGCATCGATTTCCTCTCAGTGCTCTAGTTAAATACCTGCAAATTTTATATTTTAACTAAGACTTGTATCTAAAATTGAAGATGCCTAGTTAAATTCTCAACACAAATGTTCGCACTTCTGGAAAGGGAAAGATTCTTGTTTCCAACATCTTTATTTGTAGACTTTTCAATGACTCCATATGATGTTCACCACATAGGTTTACATTGTGATACAGGTCTGATTCTGGTCGGCAAGCATTATTAGCTCTTGGGTATTTTCCTGAGGTACACTCTGTTTGTCTACGTCTACTATTCTCTTACGGAAGTTATTGAGGGAATTACCTATGTGCCACTAAAAAACCTTGTTCACCCATATGTATTACAGAAAAATCCTCCTCCCCGATGTACCATGGCACAAGTTTCTCTGTTTCCCTGTGCCACTACTGTCAAGTTTTGCCTACGTACTCCCTCCGTCCTGAAATATAAGGGCTTTTCTCTTAGGTCAAACCATACTAAGTTTGATCAAGTTTGTAGAAAAGGACAATAATAACATATACAATATCAAATGAGCTTCATTAGATACAATATGAAATGTGTTTTCATAATTTAGCTCTTTGATGTGATAGATTTTAATACTCTTCTTTACAAACTTGGCCAAACTTAGAATAGTTTGACTTAGGGCAACTGAAAATCCATGTTTTTTAGGACGGAGGGAGTAATTGTTAATCATGTGTGTGGAAAATATTGTATTACACTTTAGTTCAGTAATAGGCTGCTTGTTTTCGTTCCCCATGCCATTCAGACAAAATAACACAGAGAAAGAAACACACACACACACAAAAAAAAGACGCTAGGGGGCGCTCCTTGGCACAGAGATCACACAGCTACAGTGCATACTGGTGGAAGCATCCATTCCATGGCAGTTCTTGGGTTATCCCAGACTTGGGAGAACCCGCTCACCACCTGTGGGGATGAGTGCCCTGCTGCAAGCCATCATCGTCGGTCAGGCTCGGATCAAGTAAAGCAGATGAACAAATATGTATATGGAAGGGGGAGAAGAGCATGCTCACTGAAGCATATGAAGACGACCTGCAGCGGGAGGACGATGTGACAGGCAATGGTGAGGTACATCATGCACATGGGGTCCACAGGCTTGGGCCGCATCTTGTTCATGTCCCCCAGGGATCTCTGGGCACAGGCACAGCAGCATGCGGTCATTGTCCCCTGCCCCCTCCACGGCATTCGAGCTGTTCAGGAACGCACCCATGCGCCACTGCAGCACTTGCTCTGCGGCCTCGGCGTCTGCTCATTGCTCGAATGCGAACGGTACCGCATAATCCGTCAGCAGGCCCAAATTGCTGTTTGGGCCCGGCACACCTTGGTGTAGATGCAGTCAAGGTGTCCGCATGCAGTTTGTCGGTGATGTGCTGCTGTGCTCATCGGGGATTGTCATTGGCGAGACGACAGACATGTTGCAAGGCTAGGTGTCGATGATGTGGGTACATGCATCGGCAAGGGCCTTGTGCCCAGGATCCTGGTGGCGAGGCTCTGCTTCCTTGCCTGCTCTGGCCTCTCTGTTGACCAGGGAAACATAGCATGTCAGCCTCGGAAGGACAGCTCGCTGCTTTGGCCATGGCTATAACGAGGAGGATGATCTTGGCATGGGGTCAGGGTCAACTCCAGTCAAGGAGAAGGGTTGTATCCTTCAAGCAAGGGCAAAATTGTCTGTTAAAGCAAAGAGTAACAGCACAAGTAGACCTAATGGGTGACAAGTAGGCAGAACTTGACAGTAGTGGCACTGGAATGGAAAATTGGAAGCTGTGGCACATGAGTTAAGATGTTTTTTTTTTTTTTTTTACATATGGGTGAGCAAGTTTTTTTAGTGGCACATGGGGAATTCTCTCAAAAGTTATTTGGGTTGTTGAGTGATGTCAATATTTTTGTTGCAGGCAATATCAGTTCTACTGAGATCTCTCTCTTCATATAAGGATCTTGATTCAGTCATGGCTAAGAATGGTTGAGAATCTTCTGGATCCTTCCATTTGATTTAGTGTTGTATTCATGAGCTTACATGTCTTTGTGTCTGTCTGATCTCAGGAGGGTCGCCTTTGGGTCTTGCAATTTTCCATTCAGCTGCAGAAATTCTTGAAGTTTTGGTTGCGGATTCAACCGCTTCATCACTTAAATCATGGATTGGGTTTGCTGTTGATCTGCACAAGGCTCTGCATTCATCTTCTCCTGGTTCAAACAGGAAAGATGCACCAACAAGGTTGCTTGAATGGATTGATGCTGGTGTTGTTTATCAGAGAAATGGTGCTCGCGGGCTTCTTCGTTATTCTGCTATTCTTGCATCTGGTGGAGATGCTCATCTTTCTTCAGGAAATGTGCTTGTGTCAGATTCAATGGATGTAGAAAATGTAGTTGCAGATTCAAATAGTAGCTCAGATGGTCAGGTCATTGATAATCTTCTTGGTAAACTTGTTGCGGATAAGTATTTTGACGGAGTTGCCCTATGCATCACTTCTGTGGTCCAATTAACAGCCGCTTTCCGTATCTTGGCATTTATTTCGGATGATAAGGTAAGAAACTCATGCTCATGGGTCTCATGGAAAACCCATTTATTCATGACTTATAGTTCGCGATGACATGCTTACCTTTTTGCTATCTGCAAAGGCCGTGGCGTCATCCCTTTTTGAAGAAGGCGCCATAACTGTTATATACATAGTCCTGATGAACTGCAAGTCTATGCTTGAGCGTTTATCAAATAGTTATGGTGAGTGCAACATGTTTTATATTTTTCTACTGTGACATGGAATTTGTGACAGCAGTATATCTTTAGATTCTTGTATGTATTCATGAATCTTTGTGTGCTCTTTTTTGTCCTAAAACTTCAAAATTATTCTTCAGATTACCTTGTTGATGAAGGGGCTGAACTGAGTTCTACCACGGAATTACTTCTAGATCGAACTCATGAGCAAGCTATTGTTGACCTCATGATTCCCTCACTTGTCTTGTTGATAAATCTCCTTCATATATTACGTGTAAGCTGCACTTCCTATTCTCTGTGACACAATCAATATGGATATATCTTCTGCGTATGAGCACAACAATTGTTTCAAGCTGATTTTGTGGTCTTGGGTTATCTTTTCATTGCAGGAAACAAAAGAACAATACCGCAACAAAAAACTTCTTAGTTCTCTTCTGCAGTTGCATCGAGAAGTTAGGTTGTGCATATCACGTTCCATTTTATACCTCCTACCCTTCCCTCTCAAACTCTCTATCTAACAATGTCTGCAATTCTATTCTTGCAGCCCGAGGCTAGCAGCTTGTGCTGCAGATTTGTCCTTCATGTTTCCTACTTTTGCTATCGGTTTTGGTGTTGTTTGCCATCTTATCACGTCAGCAGTTGCTTGCTGGCCGTTGTATAATTGGGCACCTGGTCTGTTTCATTGCCTTCTTGAAAATATCGAGGCTACTAATGCGTCTGTACCATTGGGCCCAAAGGCTGCTTTTAGTCTGCTTTGTCTTCTGGTAAGCATTTTGGCTACTTTTGCACCTCTGGGACTGAGGATGTGAGAACGAATGGATCATCCAATCCTAAGTAGGACCTAAAGCTAACGTTTTGGTTTGTGGAAGAATATTTGCTCCATCACCATATCATCCTTAGTAAGCTTCAGCCAATATCGTGGGTTGTGGCACATGTCCTCAAACCTAATGTCTAATTTGAGATGACTATAAATTCCCTTTTCTTATCCCTCTGTTCCAAATTATAGTTCACTTTAGCTTTGTCCTAAGACAAACTTCTCTAACTTTGACCAATTTTTTGGAAAAATATATTAACATCTACAAGTTCGAGTAAATGCATTACCAAGTTCGAGTAAATATATTTCAAAGGGAGTCTATCTAATGAAACTAATTTGCTACTACAGAGGTTGATACATTCTATAAATTGGTAAAGAAATTTGACTTAGGAGAAAGCTAAACTGAACTATGATTTGGAACAGAGGAAGTAGTATTGATGCCATCTTTATAGTTTTTTTTTCTACTGCTGTTCTCATATCTTGTGTGCATTGTAGGGTGATCTATTCCCAGATGAAGGCATATGGCTATGGAAAGTTGAACTTCCTTCCCTGAGTGCCATTAGATCTTTGAGTACTGGAACAGTGCTTGGGCCTCAAGTGGAGAAAGAGGTGAATTGGTACCTGCATCCTGAACATGTGGCCATATTACTTGTGAGGCTGATGCCACAACTTGATAGACTTGCTCGTATCATTGATAACTTTGCTACTTCGGTATGTACTGGCTTTATTTCTTTTGCTTATCATATCTCTCCAAAGCAAATGGCCTCTTTTCTTTATCACTTTTTACATAAATCATCGTATATTGCAGGCCTTGATGGTGATACAGGACATGCTTCGTGTTTTCATTGTTCGTGTTGCCTCAGAAAAGATTGAGTGTGCAGTTGTTCTTCTACGCCCTATATTTATATGGTTAGACGATAAAGTTGACAAAACTTCCCTGTCAGAGAGAGAGATCTTTAAGGTATGAGAATGTGCAGTGATTATGCTTGCATAATATATGTGCTATCACTTTAATTTGGTGATTGTAAATGCATTACTGTTGGAATTCTTGGAGTTAGGTGGGCATTTACCTCATGAGAAATGCAATCCTTTGTTTGACCAGTTCTTGAAGGCCAGCTTTTTTTTTGGTATGATTGTATGATTTTGTTGCATTTTTTTTTTTTTTTAGCAAGATGAATGTTAGAGCTTGTCTATATGCTGATGCAAGCACTTCTTTTATGCGCAACTCACTTATCTATTGGAGCCTTCAGAGTTTCACCTAAATTGGTTAGGTTCCTGGAACAGGGATCAATCCAAAAGCCTTGTTCTGGTTTCTCCTTTTTGTCTGGATGCTTTGGTTTGCTTTTTTTTTTCTTCCCTTTATGTGCTGGAACATACTAAACAATCAGTTCTGCTGGCATAACCCACAAAAGACCTTGATGCTTGCCACTGTGGTGCTGGGGTGTCCTGAAAATTTGCTAGATTCTGGCATGAATCTCCTGCCAGCATTTTGAGAAGTTTCTGTTTTGAACTGTATGGCACATTTCTAGATGTGCCTTGAATCGTCTTTGGAAATCGATCAAGCATCAAACTTCAGAAAATTCTATTTGTGTGCCAATTTAACAATGAAGCATGTAACACTCGGTTATTTTCTCAGCATCATAGAATGGTTGAAGGAGCCTCTTTTTTTTTGTTCCTAAAATTCAGTTCTGTCATCATTTATTTGGTAAAAACACAGCATTGGCAACCTGAAGTTCTTTATGCATTTTCCAGGTGCATCAGTTGCTTCAGTTTACTGTAAAATTATCTGAGCATCCTACTGGCAAGGTGAGAGGTTGTTTGCTATCTATGATTCTTGGAAGCTGTTTCTCTCGTGGTCCCTTCTCATTTCTCTTAATTCAGGTATTGCTTTGGAGGATGGGATTCACAAGGATTTTTAGAAAGTTACTACAGAATTGTAGCCGAGCATCTTTTTCGGATGATAATCAGACTTTTGGAATGGCGGCCTCTAAGAATGACCTCATGCTCAAATGGAGGATCCCTCTATTTAAATCTATTGCATATATCTTTAGTATCGACCCGTCTAATAATGAGAAGGCTGTTATTGAAGAGTAAACACACAATCACGCCGTTATTTATTTAGAAACATATTTCTTATTTACATACTAAAACTAATGATTTTCCATTCAACTAGGTCCCTGAATGAGAAATCTGTTCATGAATGCTCTCTTGTCATGCATCACCTCATGATGTTCTGCCAGGTACATTTCTTTTAGTTTGTTTATCATTAGTCTATTCTTGTGGAAACATGGGTTTTGATGCGTATTGAAACACTCTTCATAATATATTACTTGTTTATTTATTTGATCCCCAAGCTTCGCTTCATGATGTCAGTATTGTCATGTTCTTAAGTTATCCTGCTCTGAAGGAATTAGATATGATTTGAGATGACCCTGTGTGTTTTGATTTGGCCCGAGAGTTGGCAATAAGAACAGACAATTAGGCACTTGTTGGTTGCACATGAAATTACATCATCAAATTTTGTAATGTTGGGCCACATGGTAATAATGGCGAGAACTTCTGGAGCTTTCAATTGTGTTTTGAGTCCACCTAGTTTATATGGTAAATACTTGTAGCCTTGTAAGAGGCTAGGAGCTGGAATTTTGGTACACTAATCCATTTGGCATGGAAAACCTCAAAAATCAGCTTTAGATTCAAAATGGTTGCTCTTAGACAACAGAAGGAAACCGTGAAGGTGTTGACCTGGGATGCTGAAAAATTTTCTAGATACCTGCTGACCGTTGCTTTTCTATTTTTCTTCTTTGCCAGGGTTTTAAAGACCTTATTATTGAAACTGTAATTCCCTTTGAGTCTAAAGTAATGTATGCAATCATCTTAAGATATCCCAGTACATGCAGTCATTTTTGGTGTACAAACTTATGTATATTCGGAATAAGAAATACCTGGATGAAAGATGAACTTTAGAAATTTAATTATTTACCGTACTGCATATTTTCCTTAATGCTGTGGGAAAGTAATAGTATGTTGGAAAAGTTAACAATTGGAATTATACTCATTTTGATAAAACACTATGTATGTAGAAGTTTAAAAAAAGGTCTAAAAAAACTTCAGCAATAAATGAGGCAGAAAATATAAGTAATAGGTGTGACAGTGTAAACATTGAACAGTATATTTGCACTATTGCACTTGCATTTCTTCTCTCTTTTTTGTATCTAGCAGATGGGATTATATTTGTTCTTGAGTGTTACATGGATGCTGAACATTATCTTGCCTGTAGCTGAGATGTCTTTGAGCATATTAGAAAACTTGTTAGTTTGTTTCCACCTGAAGTACTTCCTAATGTATTCATCACTGTTTGAACTGAATCGTATACAATGCAACTCTAAATTTGAAATCATTAACAAGTTATAATCTTTATTAAAAAATTCAATATCATTCTTATATCTTTGTTCAAATTTAGTTTATATTATTTCTGTGATTCATTATAATGTTTATCATGTTATAATATAAATACCCCAGGTTTTGCCTGTTGGCCGGGAAATGTTAGCATGTTCGTTGGCGTTCAAGGAATTGGCTTCTTCTTATACCTGTAGAAGTGCAGTAACTTTGATATTGTCACAAATACATACTTCCAACAAAGATGTTCTTGAAAAAGATGAGAGTGACCCTAACCATAACTTGCCAACTCTGGATGGTTGGAATTGCTTTTCCTCATTGTTCAAGTGCTGGAAGAAGCTTGTAAAATATATTGGTTCTAATCAACCAATGGATTATTTAGTAGAAACTATTTATTCCTTGACACTAGGTGCTATCACCCTCAGCCAGTATGGTGAAAAGTAAGTGTTGCTTCCTCTTATTGCTTTTGAATGTTTCAATAGCATTTAATCCACAGAAGATTGTATAGAGGTATTATTTGCAGTTACATGTTGTCTGTTCATTGGGTGAAGCCATTTTATTTAGCACACTTGCCTTTTGCTCTCTTTCTGTTTGTTGAGGTAGTCAACATATGGTAATTTCTACAGAACTGTGTATATTGTGTTACCTTGCGCCGTGTCTGTGGGTCATGCATGTTTGGGGAGATAGCCATCTCCATACACCCACAATCCATGTAGGATCCTATTATCTATACATATGGGTATAAGACCATCCATGTAGGATCCTGAGTTGCCAGATTCCATGCTGTCACATCATGCATGCATGTCCCAGCCTTCTCCATTTCCATTTCATTTTCTTCATTTCTTATTTTTCCATTTATTTCTCTTTTTGAATAATGTACTCATTATTGGTACAATTTATCCACTTATCCTGCTCTCAAAGTTAAAATCATTTTCATAGTGTGGTTGCTGTTTCTGGTCCATCCTATCCGATGCCCTCACTCCTGAATTCACTGTGAATCCTCCTAAAAAAATGCATGATGTTTGTCTATTCCATTGTACATTAGTCTGCATTTTAGTGGTCTGCTTTGATTTAATTTTTTGGCATTTGTGTTCGCTGGAAAGCTCAGAGATCTGTTCAATTGCCTGTGATGTGCACACAGGATAGTGAAGAAGTAATACCTATTTTAATTTTAATTGCATTTGATTTGTTCGCAGAGGAAGTAACACTATACACTTTTACTTGTTTTGAGATCTTTAAACGAACTTGTTGTATTCACAGTTAACTTTTACCATGATTGGGTATTAGTTGATTCCGGTGCTATTTGTGTTGGCTTGCAGTTTATTTCTTTTTGCATATTTAGGGTTCATATCAGAGTAAATCTTATTGACTTGCAATTATTATCTTGCTGTTCCTTGTAGTCTCGAGGGTCTGTTAATATTGAGGCATCTATTTGGGCTCCCTTCTGATCCTAGTGGTTCCTTGGAATCATCTGGTGAGAGTCCAAGTGAGATTGAGTTATTCATGAAGACATCTGAAGAGAAGATATGCCAGAGCTTTGAAAATTCAACGACTGCTGTTGGAAAGACTCTTTTACGCAAGGTATATAACTTCATTACTATGTTAGAATATTTTTGCTCTACTGTCCTGTTTCTAATATTGATGTCAATTCACAGCTATTGAATTCGATCACATTACTACGCACTATTCTTGAGAATTCTGGGCAATCCGCAGATTCAGTGCAGATGGTTCTTGAAGAAGGCACTGACTCACTGTCCGAAATCGCTCGCTCTGTTGTTATGACAGCTCATCTGATGCCATCCCTAGCCAATGTGTCAGTAAATGATGAATCTCCTTTTCTCTTCTCTAATGTGTGGAAGGTTATTGTTGATTCAGAAGAACCTCTTGACTGCCAAGAGGGTGAATTTGCAAAGAGACTAGTTTGGGAGTTGCCTGATTCTTCTCTTGATAAACAACTAACACCTGGCCAATCTGCCAGGAGGAAATTAGCACTGGGAGAGAGTGCAAGTAGGCGTGTAAGGGATAATCAACTGCCTGAACCCACTGGACAGTTCTCACGAGGTTTAAATACAACCAATGCTTCTTCAGGACATACACGCAGAGACACTTTCCGCCAGCGGAAACCTAACACAAGTAGACCACCTTCAATGCATGTAGATGACTATGTTGCAAGAGAGAGAAACATAGATGGTGCAAGTAGTGCGTCAAATATTGTGAACTCTACTCCACGGGGAACGCTTAGTGGAAGGCCTCCATCCATTCATGTTGATGAATTTATGGCAAGGCAGAGAGAACGTCAAAATCCTGTGCCAGCCCCAACTGGAGATGCACCTCAAGCTAAAAGTCAGACAAGTTTAGATGACAGCCTTCGTACTAAGACAGAGAACTTGCGTCAACCCAAGACTGATCTCGATGATGACCAAGAAATTGAAATTGTCTTTGATGAGGAATCAGGTTCAGATGATAAACTTCCTTTCCCTCAACCAGATGATAGTCTCCAATCACCACCTGTCATTATTGGGGAAAATTCTCCTGGTCCTGTTATTGAGACAGAAAATCAGGAGAATGAAAGAATTCCCTTTTCCCAGAGGGCCACATCACTCCCACAGGATGATGAAAGTCCTGGCATTGACATTTCTTCCCAGACTGCAATGCTTTCAGAAGCTAACAATTCTTTGGAACTGAAATATTCAGTTTCTAGCCCAGGGAAGAATTGTTTTCGTGATCATGCTGAAGAGTCTAATTATCCTTCTATTGGTGTGTCTGGGAGATCATCTGTACAAGCAGATCATCAACAATTATCTCGTAGACATGAAAAGAGAAGTCCACAAAAATTTTCTGAGACTTCTCTGTCAAGTGGATCCCATGGGCATGAGCATAGACATTCCAATAACCATCCACCTCTGCCACCAATGCCACCACCAATTTCATTGGTGCCCATGCAAAATACTGATTCAGTTAATAGGCAGTCATCTTCCTTTAGTTTTAGAGATCGACCAACACCTAGTCCTTCTGGTTATCCTATACAATCTTTTGACTCTAGTATGCCTAGTGCTTTCACAGGCCTTCAGGTAATTGAACATAGGAAAGCTTTATGCAGCTTCTTTTCTGTTTTTATCTGTTATAATTCAGCTTTTGAAATGTGAACTTGCTTTTGTAGGGTCAAACTCAATATATGCTTGCAGGCGTTGGCGGTGGTTCATCAGCGAATGATTTACCCAATGCAGAGGCCAAGCTTCTATGGAACACATTTCCAGTAAATAGGATCCCTCTGGAGACCTTCAGCTCAGGTTTATCTGCTCGGCCGATGCCACCCCATACACCTTATTCAGCTCTTGCTACTCAACATGCTACGATGAGCTCTAGCTCTCCAGCAACGCTGTATAACCAAGGGAGTGTTGTCCAGCCTTCTCCAACTGCTTCTATTATTAGTGATTCAAATTTAGCCATGAACTCCGCATCTGGCAGCATGCTCGCATCGAATCTGCTGCCATCATTTGCACCACAATTTCTGATGGGCAGGCCTTCAATGCCTACTCCGTTTTTTGGAACGCCTCTTCAACAAGTTCAGTTTTCATCTGGTCTTCCACAAAATATTTCTAACCCGCAGCCTTCTGTCTCCTCAGTACAACCACGGCCACCTCCACCCCCCCCACCACCACAGCAGCCACATCCTTCTCAGACACTACAACAACTTGGTGCTCTCCAATTACCACACCAAGATCAGCAGCTGCCATATCCCCAGAGTGCTATCTTGCCACAAGTTCCATTGCAGTTTCCTAACCAGCTACCCATTCCTCAACTACAATTGTATCATCAAAGCCAGCAGGAATCTGGGCAAACACTGAGGCAAGTTGGTGAACAATCACAGCTTCAGAACCAGGGTATGCAAGCTGATATTTTCTCACAACAGCAGCAAGACTCAGGGATCAACTTAAACCAGTTCTTTTCATCTCCAGAAGCCATTCAGGTAACATTTAAATTTATTTTTATGAAACTACATTTTGGGATGAACTTAATGCCAAGGAGACCAATAGTCATAACTTTTATTTCTTGCAGAGTCTACTTAGTGATCGTGAGAAGCTCTGCCAACTTTTAGAGCAAAATCCAAAACTTATGCAAATGCTCCAGGTAAAGTCTTGTGTTCAAGTAGTCACTTCTAATTTTCGACCCGCTGGAAGCTTCATTATGCTGAGTTTGATTACACCTGCATTTGGGCACCCAGAGGATCGGACTGATTGTATGTGTACCGTTTATTCTCAAACTGTGATGCCTGTTGATTTGAGATTTTCTTTTCTTGCATTGCTAACAGGATCGCATCGGCCAGTTGTAGCCGCCACTCGGGGTGCTATTGTGAGTGAAATATGATGCTGGGTCAATTGGTAGGTTCCTAGAGTATGGCGGTGTTCCGTTTTCGGCTATGGCTGTAGCTAGATGAAATCAACTGCTGGCTTGCTATTGCTAGTCACCGAAATGTATTCCTATGTACATTATCTGTAACTTTGTTCTTTGTAATGTGAATATTTGTAATATTGGTGCGTATCTAATTTATTGTTTTAAGTTTACCTTTAGTGGTTAGATCGTGTGACGTGCGCAGCGACAGAAAAAAATGACTTAGGGCCTGTTTGATGAGTTTCATATTCTTAAAAACCATTTTTCGCTTTTAGTTTCTAAAATCTGGATTCTGAGTAAAAACTGGTCGGAGTGTTTGGATCCTCAATTTTTAAGAATCTGGCTTCATTTTTTTGCTCACAGGGTCACAAGAAATTGGCAAAAGCTGATACAAGAAACTGGACAAAAACTAGCCTGTTTGGATCCCCAGTTTTTAAAAACCAGATTCTTAAAAGCAGAAGGATCTAAGCAGGGCCTTAGTCTGAAATGGTTTTTGACGCAAACTACATATAGAGTTATGAATATACTGTTATATGCTCGTGTATTTGGTTGCTTTAATGCTCAAAATGAATGCCCTCCAGGGTTTGGATTCGGATGCAAATCATCAGCATTCCTCGCATCCGTTCCTATTTTGAACTGCAAGAGTTTTCTGTATGAAAAATAAAAATTAATATTGGAAAACAGTTTTTACGCAATGGTCTGTTTCAATGCATATATATATAAGCAGTCCATTGTCTATTCAATCAACGCCTATAAATAGTCTATGAACCATATTTGAATGACACGTGGATTAATCATCAATGATTTAATCAGGTGTACTACGGACTATCATGTGAAAGACTCATCTAATTCAATCCGATATGTCTAATAGAGGGCGGGTTATGGTCCTAAGAACTAAAAGCTCTGTTGGGACACGGTTACAAGTCGTGGAGGCTCCAAGGATTGCAGTGGTGCTAAGAACTAACGATTAACCATGTTCTGTGAGCATTGTGTAGGGAAAGAAGGACATAACCTTCGCCTGGTTGGACGCCCTGAGCGAAGGTCTGGAAACTACGGCGAAGGTGCTCGGATGTAGCCGAAGGCTCAGGCTCGGGCGATACCTGCGGAGGCTATAGGAGTTGGTGCGAAGGTCCAGTCAAAGGTTCTAGGAGCCGAGGGACTTCCCGCAGGGCGGCGTTGCCGGGCCGTGGGCCGCAAACGGACTCACGGTAGCGGCCCCTCAAGCAAAGACGGTTGAAGAAGAAGGCACCCAAAGTACCCCTAGCGGTTTGTATTAGTATAGAAATATTCCGAGGATGTATTGTAACCGCAAGGGGTAGAATTATAAAGAGTAGCTTTAGTAAGCAGTGCCCTATAAAAGGGGACTCAAACTCTGTACAAAGGGAGATGGTTGAATACATTTATGAAACCCTAATCAGGCTTGAGCCCACTTTTCATCTTTCATGCCTTCGCCCAGGGCACTCGGCCGGGCGAAGGCCTCTGTTAGTCCTTCCTTATCCCACCTGTTGGAAATCCCTTTTTCCAACATTGGTGCCCACCGCGTGTTGGCCGAGCAAAACCCACGATGGCAAGAAAGAGAGCAGCCTCCGCTAGAACTCCCGTGGAGCCCTTGACGAGGGGACGACCTAGGCGTAGTGTCCGTAGCGCTTACGCTAGCGTCCCAGAACACCAAGTTGAAGAAGAGCCCGTGGTCAAAGATCAGCCTCCGGCAGTGGAGATCAGCCAGTCTCAGACCCCACCCCCGAGTAGGTGCTTCAACAACTACAAGCTCAACTACAGAGCACACAACAGGAAAGAGATAGGTTGATGGCAACGTTCGCTGCAAACTAGAGGGTAGCCCAGACATCATTACATGCAGCGGAGTGAAAGTGCAATCAAGCCTTAATTGTGGGTTTTGGTGATAATGACCACGCAGTTAGAGAACTAATAAGATTTATCGAGATGACAAGCAGGGAATTTATATTCGAGGATGCTACACGAAACGGAAGAGTCCCTAATTACAAATATAGATGGTTTCAAACTCAAAAGAGGTTTAAGCTTCTTTTATATCTTGAATTTGAGTATAGAAAAGCCGTACTATAAAGAGAGACACAATGTTTAAGCTAATATATGCTATCAAGTGCTCAAACAACCATAAGCATCCTCAAATTCACAACCAAGACAGTCTACACTTTACTATTACCCTTGCAGTCTTGCGTGGTGCGAGCTCCGTCTCGCCTGACCCCTTGGGTGCGGGCTCCATCTCGCCCAACCCCAAAGTTGCGGGCTCCGTCTCGCCCGACCTCTAGGTATGGATGAAAACGGATCGGATACGAACGGATATCACTCATATTATATTTGTTTTTATATTTATGTTCGGATTCGGATTCGGACACGGATAGCGTTTGGATACATATACGAATATAGATTGATTCGGTTACGGATACGAATAATGAGTATCGAATACGGTATGAATCGGATTCGGAGAAGGTCGGATACAAATATCTATTCGGATATTAAGTAAAAACAGCATATATATGGGCCAGCTAGCTTAGCTAGGGTTATAGAGGATTGGGCCGTTTGGGCAAGAGGTAATATTTTGGCCAAATTCCAAAAATCACAATTCGAGACAAAAAAAAGCAAAAAAGCAAAAAATTATTGTTTGAGGCCCTAAACAAATTCAATGAAAATGTTGTAATCAACAAAGTTTCATAACTTTTTGGGATCTAAAACTTTCTTTTGGTTGTTTCTCCATCTGAGATTCTGAGGTCGTTTGAAAAATTCAAATTTTAAATTTAAGAAATTCAAACGTAGTTTTCCTTGACAAGATGATTTCAAATAAAAAAATTTTTTAACTATAAAGTTTCATAAATTTCTGAGATCTACAACTTTTATTTTAGTCATTTGTTCATCCGACATAGTGGTAGTAACATTATTCACGAATCTCACACATCTCTCTTATAGTTTATCAAACTACAAGAGAGAGATGTAATTTTTGTGAACAATGTTACTACCACAATCTTGGATGAACAAATGACCAAAATAAAAGTTGTAGATCTTGATGAGTTTTACAACTTTTATGTTCATGACTTTTTCAGCTGAAGTCATTTAATGTTTGAAAATGACGTTTGAAGTTGCTATTTTTTAAAATTCAAAATTCAAATAGATAGAATACAGTCACATGAAAAGATGAACACAATAATAGCTATAAGAACATAATAAATTGATAGAACATGATTTTAGAAAATTTTAGAAAAAAAATTTATCAAATTTGAAGTTAGTACGAGGGAGAAAAACTAGTTACAAGTTTTAGCCAAATATTAAAAAGAGAAATAGGCGTTCTTTGACCATTTCGAAATTGAAATTCAAATAGTATTTTGAAGCACTAAATGATTTAAAATGAAAAAGTTGTAAACAACAAAGTTTCATAACTTTTTGAGATCTACAATTTTTATTTTGACCATTTCTCCATCCAAGGTCGTTTGAATAATATCCGGATAATATCCGTTTGAATAATATCCGGATATATTCGATACTTAACCGGATTATCCGATATCCGCCGGATATCGATAATATTACATTCGTATTTAATAGCCGCCTAAGATATCCGTTTTATTATCCGTATCCAAAAAAAATTACGGATATCCGAGTAACTATCCAGATAACTGTTCATATTTGTTCGGTCGAACGGACGGTCGAATAAATATCCGTTCTGTTTTCATCCATACCTCTAGGCCATGGGCTCCGTCTCGCCCGACCTTGAGGTTGTGGGCTTCGTCTTGCCCGACCCCTTGGGTGCGGTGTCCGTTGAGGGCTGGAGTATATATACTTTTTTCTTTTCTCGCCAACGGCTATCTGCGATTTAAGTGACCATTGAGGGTGGGGGGGTATATATACCTTTTCCCTTCCTTCCCAACGGGAACCTGCTCTCCTCTTCCTAACTTCAGCACGCCTAAAACAGAGCAGGAGCTCTCTCTCTCTCTCACTCCATTGTTGAACCCAAGCCCCCAGGCAAATCCATTGATTTCCCCATTAATCCTTGAGGGATAAGGGTCCAAAACTCGATTAGAGAGCAGCTCCATTGATTTCCAAACTCTAAAGTGCACTTGGTTCACGTTTTAGCTAGCGGTTGTGTTTGTTACTCTTAGAGATTGACTCCTAGCTGGCTAGAGCATCGCCTGTGGAGCTTGCCAACTTATGTGGCAGCCCCGAAAGGTTTGTAACCACCTCTTGCAGCAAGTAAAATCACCCCTCATCTCAAGAGTTCACTCTCTTAACTTGAGAACGAGGTAGGGTTGCAAATCTCTAAGCCTTAGTGGTATACCTCAACAACGTGGACTTAGGCAAGCCTTGGTGACGAGCTGAACCACGGGATAAATCCTTGTGTCATCTTGTGCTTGTGTTGCTACACTTGTGTTCTTGTTGTTGTTGAGTTGATTTCTAGGATTGAGGCCGATCTACTTGTGTGTGGTGTTCCCATCACTTTCAACTGTCGATCTGTGATCTTCTACCCTGCAGGAAGCTAAGAAATTTACTTGATCTAAATCTCGTTGGGTAGATTTTGAACTGTGAACTAATCTCTCCTGCAGGTGCGACAGTGTAGCTGTGCGGCAGTGCCGCGCTCACGGAGCGGCAGTGCCATGGGTGAATTTGATTTTGGTTTGAGTTGAATTTTTACAAGCCTATTCACCCCCCTCTAGGCGTACCAGTGATCCTACAAGTGGTATCAAAGCGAGGTTACCTCGTGTGCGCTTCACCGCGTGAGGTATGGAGCCCGGGGGAGGATCCGGTGTTGTGAAGCCCATCAACGTCGACCCAGAGGATGTTGGGCTGCATGACACCGACAGCAGTGAGCTTAGCGCCTCTACAACGAGCAACTCCACGCTCCCCCAGCTAGAGGCAACTGATGTCGAAAAAGCTCAAAATAAAGAAGAAAGAAAGAAGAAGAAGGGCAGCTAGAAA